CGAGGTCCTAGACCTGCACGCGGCGTGGCTGCTATTGCACTACTGCGCAGCACCCCGGGCTAACTACTTCCTGCGGAACGTCTTGCCCGCACTCACAGCCCAGTTCGCTGCGGACTTCGATGCGCAGCGGCGGTCAGCTCCCAGCTGCGGCAGCGTTTCGCCACCTTGCCTTCCGCGTCCCGAGCGCTGCTGCTGTCCCAGGCCGGGCCACATGCCGCCTGCTGCTTTACAGTCCGTCCGACTCACGAAGCAGTCGCCATCCCGCCCGCAGAATTCCGGGTACTTCTCCTCCGCCGCCTGCGCTTGGCGCTGCCGCTCGCGCCCCGGCTCTGCTCCTGCCGTGGTCTGCTTGACCCGCTCGGTGACCACCGTGCAGCCTGCGCGACCTCCGGGGCCCTTGCCTCCCGTGCCCTCCCGCTTGAGCGAGCCGTCGCTCGGGTCTGCCAAGAGGCCGGCGCTTGCAGACATGAGCCTCTCCACCCCAGTGCCCGACGCGCGCCGGATAGAGATCGTCTGCAACGGCTTGCCTCTTTGGCATGGGGCTCAGCTTGCAGTTGACACCACCCGTGTCAGCCCAGTCACTCGCTCCGGCGAGCCGCGGCCAGGAGCCGATAGTCAACCCGGCCACGCCGTACAGCAAGCCATGAGGCGTAAGCGACGCGACACGTACCCCGAGCTTGCGCCCTCGCCGCGCTGCCACCTCGTGGTGTTCGTTGTCGAGGTTGGCGGCCGCTGGGGCCCCGAACCCGCGACCTTCCTCAGGTTCCTCGCACGGGCGCGAGCTGGGCGTGCGCACGCTGCCGTTCGGTCGACTCTGCGTGCAGCCTATGTGTCTCGCTGGAGCAGCATCATCGCCGTCACAGCAGAGAGGGCCCTCGCCGGCTCCTTGCTGGAGCTCCCTCTCGACACCTTCGCCTCTGCTGCCGGCGAGCCGGCTGCGCATGAGGTCCTGCTGGACGAGCGCTGGCTGCACGCCGCCCTCAGCCGGCTCCCGCTGCGGACCTAGGCTGACGCCGCCGCGTAGACTGCAGGTGCACAGGGACCGCGCTCGTGCTGGTCGCAAAAAGTGTGCGTGAACAAAAATAAAAAAAGTAGTGCCCGCGTGCATCAGGTCCGCGTTTTGTCCCGGCTCCAAGATGGATCCACGTTCAAAACGAGAAAAAAAAGAGCGTTGACATGAACATCGATAGAAATTGTCGCGAACGGGCTGTCAAGTCTACCCTGAGCTCGTGCGCGCTCGCTGCTGCCGGTTTTTGGTCGTTGTTGGCGTTGGGGTCCGGGGCCAGTTTGGCGCCTGTGCAACCAGGCCCCGAAGCGAGCAGCACGTGCGGCATGGGTGGCCCTGGTCGGGGCTGCTTGCTGTAGCGCGCCGTCGCCGCGTCCTTGTTGCTACTTTCGCTCGCTTGTCACCACCCAGCCTTCGTGCAAGCATTGGCCGAGGACAGGTTCCGCGCCGAGCAAGAGCTCCTCGACCAACGGCCCAAGCTGCCAGACCTACAGTGTGCATGGCTGCTTTTGCTAATGCGCGCACTCCCTCGCCCGAACCACGCCATTCGCACCATGCCCCATTCGGAATTCGGCGTCTGCGACGTACGCGCGGGGACATGATGATGCCAGATGGACGACGCTACAGGCCATGCTCGGCGGAATGGGCCACGCGGAAGCCGCCCATGCGTGGCAAGTCACCGACCTGCCAAATGCGCTGGGCGGGCTTGGGTTGCTATCCGCTGAGGCGATAGCGATTGCAGCTTACTGGGTTTCCTGGGCGGATGCATTGCCCGCAATCAACGCACGCCTGCCTTCAAACGCGGCCACTTATGTGCGCCTCTTCGAGTCCGACGCCGGAGCTCGCGGTGGGTGGCCCGCAAAGCTGCTGGTGCTCGGCTCGGAAATCGGGGGCCGCTGGAGCGCAACAGCGCAACACTTCGTTCGCGACCTCGTCCGCCTCCGAGCTCTCCGTGCACCGCGTGCGTCGCGCCGCGTCCTCCGGCGACATTGGTGGGGAGCCTTGTCTGTCGCAGTGGAGCTCGCAGGTGCAAGCGCAGCATTGGGGCGCTCGTGGCCAGCCGTCCCGTGCTCCACGAGTCCAGCCGCTTGCCCTTGCGGCCCTAAACCGGGACCGCGCGAAGCAATACGATGCCGTAGGACATTGTCGTAGCTACCGGATCTTCTTGCAGTCGAGAAAGTCCGTTGGGAAAAACAACTGTCGTCTGCAGGGGATTTCAACAACGCCAAGGGCTCTGCACGAGCTTCTTGCGGATGTGAGCTGGCAGCTTCCGGTGATCGGCAGCCGGCAGGGCCAGGGGTCTCGATGATGCCCTAGTTGAGCGTTTTGGTTCCTTTTTTTTACGTGCACTTTTTTATTGCAGGCATGTCCGCGACGAAGGTCCCTGTGCAGCGGCCATCTGCCGCGCAGCCGGAGGACAAAGCAGACTCCAGGATGCCGGACCGGCCGCAACAGCCGCCGGACCGCAGCGGCCCGATGTAAGGCTGTAGAACCTGGTGCTTGTAGGCACTGCCCGCAAAGTCGAAAAGTACGGCAAGGTTTCTGACAAAGGGAAAGAAATATGGTGGGGACGACAGCTAGAAGAGTATGAAAAGTCTCGCGAAAGGAGTTTGGCATGCGAACCCAGGGGGGAATGATCTACCAGAAAATTGCCGCGCGGAGGTGACAACGAGGGACCAGCTTCCCAAAGACAACTTTCCCAAAAACAAAGTTTCGGAACCGATTTCCCAAATGTTTCAAGTCCTTTGCGGCGAAAGCCGCCGGAAGAGTATGGCAGCGAAACCCGCAGGAGCTTAATTCGGCGAAACTGAATAATGTTGCCAGTCTATACGAGGATTTGAAACGATGTGAATGAGTTGCGTGAAGGCTGCCAGTAGCAGACTCAGTAGCAGTGTCGTTCCTTGTCTCACGTCGTTTCACCCGACAAATGGTTGAAAAGGAGGAGTGAGCTATTGTTTCGGATCAGTACGCACTTTAAGTAGGGGAAGTGACGAAACGAGGATGGTACAGAGAAGGGGTTACGAACATTCCGTTCCGTGATGTGCGCTTCAACCCCGTGTCCACGAATTGGTGTACAACATGTTTCACCGTTAACGCACCCGAAAAAATCTGTGCTCCTAGGAACTGAGCGAGTGCGAGACGAGTATCTTGTGCGACGGAAGGATCTGGGACATAGAATCGTTTTAGCCCCGAAGTCATGGTAAGGCCGAGTGGTTGTGGTTGCGCCACAAGCCGCGATTGAGGCAGGTGTACAGAAAACCAAACCTTGGAACTCGCAGATTGGCAACCCTGAGCTGCAGTGGGAGGACAGCAAAGCAGGACACAAAAAAACTGGTTGGAGTTGGGCTTCTTGTTTAAGACCTTGGACTACCCATGACACCCAAAAACATGAGTTTGTTTTTATGATGCTTCCACAGCTGTTTCTGGTTTCCGCCGGTACAAGATTAAGGTGCATGAAGAGCAAGTCCACGACGCATGTCCTTGTCATGCGACGCAGCAAGTGCGTTATCGGATCATTCGATTTTGAATGTAGCGCTTTTTCCACCCAAAATCGAACAGGATGGCCAGCTCATCACGAGTTTTCTATACTGGGTGCACAGTACATGTTGTTGGATAATACTATCCCCATCCATCCCCTATAGAAATGAAACTGTTCATTTTTTGCGGCTTATGAACTCAGCACTCAAGAGTCAGAGCTTTGAGCTCTGTCCTTCAGATTGCCGTTCCCGGTACTTGCCCGTCGTGCTTGCGTACGGGTTCGGGGGTGACAAACGAGACCGGTGTGCTAGGAAAGGCAAATACGGGGAATCCTTCTTAGAACATGTTCGTGAGGGAGAATAGGTGTGTTCATTTGCGGAAGTTGTGGCAGCGGCTCAACAGTCCTTCCCCGCCGGTTAGCGGCGACAATCATGGGTCGGACGAAGAAACATGGCGAGGAGCCTCACGCATGATTGTGGAGGTTTAGGTCGTTTCACTTTTTGTCATTTGTGCTCTCTCTTGCCATCTGTGCTTGCAGCATGTCCGAAGAAGCGCGTTTAACCAAGTCTGGCCCGGAATTTGGTTCAGCCCGATCGTTTCTGACTGGAGGAAGCGCCGCCTCCTCCAGCACCGCCGCCACCCGGTGGGCAACAGGTCAGAACGAAACATTCAGGAGTTGGATGCCTGTGCGCAGCACCTGCGTTTGTTTCATATTCAGGCCTTCATAGCACCTGGGACGATGCCGCCGCCCAATGCTGGCGGTTTGGCAGGTGGCTGTCACATGGTGTGGTCCAACTAGGGATAAACTAAGTTGAATGTGCAATAGTGCAGTCGCTATCCAAGACGTTCCGGTGTAGTGCCGCCAAGATTCCGGTGCTGCGAAAGTTGACCAGTTGGCTTGGAGCAGCAAGGCGAATTGCAGTTGATGCGGCAGCTTCCTGCCTGACAGGTTTGCTTGCAGGAAATCCACTGCTTGCCGCCAATCCGCTGCTGCCACCTCGGTGACTTGAGCAGCCAAGCGCAACAGCCCGGCGAGGATTTCTAATGTGTGTGAGGCTCACTGCCAACCCGCTGATATTGGCGACGTTGGCAAACCCAGCGCAGCCGTCAGCTGCGATTCAACAGGCAAGCTAGATAACGGCACCAGCTGCCAGTGCCAGAAGGTCCAGGATGCCTAGGGATCATTTTTCCACCCAGGCTGGCCCCACAGCAGCGGAAGAAGTTGACAGCAACTTAATCGCCGGGACCTGAAGTATACGCCTGCGAGTCTGCCAGTTGGCGGACTTCATTCGCTGCTTTGCAAGCAGTCGGAACCCGCGGGTTCTCGTACGTAGCTGTTGAAATTTACTGTGCTGTCGCCTTGGCTGCAATGTTGGCCGAAGCAAGGATCCAGACGTGCAGGAGTTGTGCGACTATTTCCACATAGAGGACAACAAAAACAAGAACATTGGTGCACGTGTCCTCCGAACGCCACATCGGCTTGGAGGAGCGGCACGCCCGGCGCCTGAGTGACATCATGAAGCAAGCGCCCGAAATTTCTCAAGTATCCTCGTTGCGCTCATTTCCTGCAAAGCGCTGTCGGTGTTCTGTCGCCAGGAATCGGCAAGAGACCTTCGTCGAAGACATGGAGCGCTTGTACGATGTGCTGGAGCGTGCCCACCTCTGCAGCTTCAATTGCCTCCATGCCAAACATTGCAATCGAAATCCCGTTGAAAGGCGCCAACAGTCCGGCGGGGTTGCTGGTTGTAAAAATGCGTGAGATGGAGGAAGGCACCTTTGTTGGCAAGGTGCCTGAGCTGACAGGTTCAGAAGGTCTGAGTCTAGTCTAGACTTGTGTTTGCTGTGAATCTGCTTTGCAAATGTGGTGGCTGAGGTGAAGGCTGACAAGGACGGGCAAAGCCACGTTCGAGCTTCGATGACTTATCCTGCATGCGGCAGGACCTCGCCGCGGTGTCGAAGAAGTACAAGCTGGACGAGCAGGCCGAGATTCGTGTTTCTGTGTGCAGGGCGTTTAATCACACAGCTTTATCGGCGAACATGCAGATCACAACTACGAAACAACAAGTACGTGACTAGGTAGGTTCGTGTCCAAGCAGTGGCATGCTCTGTGAGCAATCATCTTGGCATCCTGGGCACCATCTTCACCGCCATGGGTAGAGTTTTCGTCTGCACTTTTCACTTTTCTGATTTTGTTTGTCAGTTTTTCATCTTCACACCTCGCATCTCCCCATCGTCATCATTTCTGGTTACTGGTAGCGTTCTCGTCTGCACTTTTCCCTTTTTTCTGATATGTTTTTCATTTTCACACCTCACACCTCCCCAGTACCTCCATCATCTGTGCTGTCATCACGCGGCGACCTCTGAACGAGCGAAGGCCGAGTCCAAGCTTGCGGACATCCTGGCGCGCTACGACGACGTGCCGGCCAAAGATCCGGCAGAGAGACCGTCCACGAGAGAGAGAGAGAGAGAGAGAGAGATAGAGAGAAAGAGAGAAAGAGAGCCCTGGCGAAAGAAAGAGAGAAAGAGAGAAAGAGTGTTTTTTCTGCCAGGGCGTATTCCAGTCGCTGAGGGAAGCTGCTTAAACTAAGCGGCCAGTGCCCATGGCCTGCATGCAACATGCTCCTCGGGCGGGAACACGGGGTAAAATCCCTACACCATAGCCCTGACGAAAGAGAAAGGGTGGAGTCTCTCGAGGTAGCTTGAGGCCTCCCTGCCAGATGTCAGCAGTTTCGGAACGTATCTGAGGCGCGGCGGAAAGAGTGCCCCAACGCGACCGTAGGCGAGTACCGCTTTGAGACGCCGGCTTCTTTTAGCAGGTACTTGATCGAAATCGAGAGGCACCTTGAGGTGTCGAATAGGCCCTCGGCCATGGCAATGATGCTTCTCAGGACTGTCGGGCTATTGGCGCTGCCTCAATGCATGTTCTTGGGGAAGCTGCGGCTTTTGGTTGTGGCTTCAGAGCACCATGGCATGATGAGGCCTTCGTCCTAGTGCACGTTATACATGATCGAATGATCCAGGGCTGCAATGCCCGGCTCGGGTGTGGAAGCGCTGGCTCTCATGCGGATCGCGACATCGATACCCCTCGCTCAGTCGCCCAGTCCCCTCGTTTGGTTTGGGTGTTCGGTTGCGCGGCCAAACATTTGCGGGACTTTTTGCTTCGGCACGACTATCCTAGCCCGGAAACGAAAACTGTCGCGAGATGTCACGAGGATGCGCAGGCTGCTCAGCGTCTGAATGGTCGTCCGCAGTCTGCCTACTCTGTTGACCGGCCCCTGTTTCCAACACGCTAACGGCCTCGATGCCCGTGATTGTTATGCACTTTGGGAGGGTGGCCGGGGGGAGGAATCTTGGCCGTGTTCTGCTGCTTTCTGACCCAATCTGGGACGCAAAAGCGCCTCAGGGTGTTGGTGGCTCTTGCTGACGTAGTCGTCACAGCCAAGACAAGGTCAGGAGGAGCACCACAAACTCGGAAGTATGATTGCCCACAGGTCGGCAGTGCGATCCGTCGCGACCCTGTAGTACAGTCAGACCAAATCACTGTGTGCAGCATGGTTGTTACGGCCCTCGTACTTCCGGGTGTTGGTGTTGTCTAGCCAAGTCTTGGCCGTAACACATCCTGTCATGCATCGCAAGCCTTCCACAAAAGCAAAGCACCGAAGATTGGTGACTTCGTGCTGTGCTGGCTAGGAGCAGGTTCATTCTTGCGTGACTTATGCTTTTTCAGGAAGCTTGGTGAAGGCCAGTCCCTGGGCAAGCCTGGGCAGCCTGCGCCCGGAAGTTATCTGGACAACGCCGAGTCCTCAACGTAGGCCCACCGAAGCAAAGGAGGCAGACGGGGATTTCACCGAGGCTCAGCGTGCTGCGCGTGGGGAAACTTCCCGGGGAGGCGAGAGCTGCGTGACACCACGACAGTGCATGACTTGGCATGTCAGGGCGCGAGGACCGGGATCGCAAAGACCGGAAGAGCCCCGACAGAGATCGGCGTGACAAAGATCGAGATCGGGACTGCGATGGCTTGCGTTCTGTGTATCTTGTCGGTGTAGTCCATACTCGTGAGGACAAAGACCGCGACAGGCGCCAGCCCTTGACGCACCACTTTTTCCAGCCCCAGCGCAAAAGCAGCTGCCTGTCTGCAGGCGGCGGTCTCGCTCCCGAGACAAGAGATCCCGGTCTCGAAGGAGATAGCAGGCCAGCAATGCCGCAATGCGACGCAATGCGAAAGGGCAAGTGCTGCAGATCACAGAAGCTCGGCTTTTCTGCGTAAGAGGCGTGTTGCGGCTGCTGATCGCATCTGCCTTGCAGCCGCATGTTCAGGAAAAAACATGCTTGCAACTCGGTGTACTGTCTTCACCAGACCTTGATCATGCGAGAGCCCCCCCCAATCAGCCGCTCTTGCCTTTGAGTTGGCCGGGGATTATTCGAGCATGTCCAGGGTCCGCCAGGCATGGGAGGCACGACCCGGCCCTGTACGTGGCTCGGCTCTAGAAGGCTGGCAGATTTGGGGTCACTGACAGCAATTTCCAAGCACGGCCCCAATTTGCACCGATACATTAGCTTTCATTTGTTCTTCGAGACAGGGTTATCACAGCCCCCGTCCGTAGTGCTGCCCCGGTTGTTCTCGCGCAATCGCTGCTCAGGCACGGCAAGGTTGCAAGATAAATTGATGTGCATGCATTCTGGCATGTTCTGTGCAGGCCATGGGCATTCGTGCTTTCCACTGCCGCCACGGCCTCTGGATTAGGTCTCACAGCTCGTCCATCTTCTTGTGGTTTCATTCTCTGGCCAAGGACGCCCGCCAAAGGTGGTGAAGCAACGGAAAGGTCCTGCGGTTCGCCGGCACGCACATTCCAGAGCCTTGAGGCTGACCGGGAGGCCCAAGCCAAGACCCGCAGTGAACTGCAACTCGCGGAGCTGGGAGGGTCTTGGTGGCATCGCTGCCGCACATCGCGGCTCCCTTGCGGGCAGCCTTGCCGACGCCTGGCTAAAAGGGAGCGGGAGGAGGAGAGGAGGGGGGGGGGGAGTTTGCGCTCGGGCGCCTCGAGGAAGCTCTGGAAGCGCGGCCCGGGCCGGGGCCGGGCTCCCGCACTTTTGGTCTCTGGACCTCCGAGAGTGGCCTTGGTGTTGGTGAGGCAAAACCAGGCGGCGGGATTCCGAACTGGAGACCGGAGACGACCGGACAGCACGCCTCCCAGCTCCTGAGAGTTTCCCACTCTCGTCGGTTTGTGACGTCTCACTTCTTGGAGGTGCTGTCCCTCTCCTCAGTTCGGGCGTGGTTAAGGCAGAGGCCTCAGACAAAACAGATGCCAAGCCGGGGCCGCGGACCGGGCCGGAGAGGTGTCCGGAGCAGTGGGGTCTTGTCTTGTCGGGTCTTATGATGTCCTGTCGACTTCAGGTCCGCAGCAGCCGGAAAGGCCGGAGAAGGGGGGGGGCAGCATCTGCTGCGAAGTGAGGCTTTTTCCGTTACCAAAAGCAGCTGCAGGCTTTGAACCAATGGGCAGAGCGAGCTTCGGATTTGATGCTTGGCTGCGGCCGCAGAGAACCGGCTGGCAAAGCGGTCCACGGGTCACTGTCACTGCATGTACTGCATGCTGCATGCTGTGGGCACTGTGACATGTTACTGAATCTGCTTACGGCTCGAGCTGAGTTGAACAAAAACACCTTGCACGGCTCTAGGCAGCCGTGCTAGACATGGCAGTGTCCATAGCTGCCACTGGGGCTCTGCACGCAAAGGCGCCCATTGCGAGCAAGCCCTTTCGACTACAGGGGATTCCTCAATCAGAGCGCTCCTTTGGAAGATGTCAAGCTGCCGGGCTCGTTGCCGGCGTTGCCCCTGTCCTCGCAGCGAGGCACACAAGGCGGGAGCGCATTGCGAGAGCTGCCGAGGGCGGCTCTGTGCGGCAGGCGAAGAAAGCGAGTCAGCCTGACCGGCAGGCAGCACTGGCAATGAGCATGTACGGGCAAAAGATCATCGGGGCGGACAAGACGGTCCCAGAAGTGGTCCCCGCAGAACTCCTCGAGGGAGAGTTTGGCAAAGAGTTGGAAGCTGCCATGGAGGCCATGGTGGAGGTCCTGCACATGCTCTGCCTAGGGACACTCATCCTGGAGGATGTCAAGGACAAATCCACCGTCGGTTTGTATGGTTACAAGTTGGAAGAGAACTATGTGCGGGAGGAAACCACAATGCCAGCAGCTGCAGTGACATGCTACATCCTGAAGATGTTGAAGGAGAAGTTCCCCGAGGACGTGGTCATATCCGACCAGAACCCTGAGCTCCTGTCAAACGATGAGAAGTTTGCGGAGACTGTGGCATCGTTCCTCTCGAGCTTCGACTTGATTCCCGAGGCAGATGCTGCAAGCGCCTCAAAGTGGCACGGCCTTTGCAATTCGTATCCAGCGGATGCAGAGACTGCCCCGGACAGATATTGGGTATTCAATCCTGTGGACACAGCCGCCGAGTTTCGTGACGCCAAACAGTTCTGCAGCACTCTGTGCCTGATGAAAGGGGGTGAGCCAGTCATAAGTGTCGTTGGCTGTCCCATGCTTAGCTTCGACCATCCGAGCCGCACCACAAGCCACCCGTCAGGCAGCAGCATCTTCTATGCTGTCAAAGGGCAGGGGGCATGGACGCAGTGCGTTATTATGGAAAGGAAAACCGGAATCTACTTGGGCCGGTATGGAATGAAAGGCAAGTCCTTGAAGTTGGATGTCTCACAGAAGATCAAGCGTGGCAACGATGGCCTCTACGATATGCTTGGAACGGAGCAGCTGCGCATCGCACAGCATGCGCGGATGCGCCAAGACATCTTCCTGGACTCCGAGCGGATCGCGAAGCTCCTGGGCTCGGAGTTCGCCAAATTCCACTTCGTGAACAACGCCCTGAAATTCTGCTGGCTGGCTCGCGGAGACGAGGAGCAAAGCGAAGCGAAAGCATAGCGTAGGTGTAGGCAGTGTAGGCAGTGTGTACTTGTAGGCATCGGCTCCCTGATTGCAGGATGTGGCGTGGACGATCACCCAAGGGCTCTATGACAAGTCTGCGAGCCTCAAGGTGACAGAGCATGCAGCAGGCGTGGCGTGCTGTGGCAATGTAGCATCGTTCTAGGCTAGGCTAATCCTGGTCCGCCCATTCCGAGCGCAGGCGTGCTCGTGGCGATGGAGTCAGGGGCAGCAGTGGCAGACCTGGATGGCAAGGACATCGACTGGTCCTGCGGCCCCTTGCTTTCTAAGAATCGCGGGCTCTTTGCGACGGATCCGAAGAAGGCACCGTTGAAGCATGTTGAAGCGAAGCCCTGCCGCCCTGTCGCCCTGCCTGTTGAGACCGGACGGTTCGGAAGGTCCCCAAGCAAGGCTTGATCAATGCTGTCAAAGAGGCCACTGACAAGTCGGAGGCGCGCTTGCATGACCTCAGCTTGCTTCGGGGTATGTCGGTATCAGGCCCTCGGTATTTTTTATCGATTTTACCGCGTGCAAGGTCCTCTACGAAGATAGATGCGAGAAGAGGAAAGAGAAGGCCGCGATGCTGCGGAAAATCTTCGAGAATCTTGCTCCTTGACTTGTTCAGCATGTGTGGGCCTTGCATCTCTTACTCCCATGAACTAGCCTTTTTGACTGCTTGTTGTCTATGACATGCATTGGAAATTGACCCAGCACGGCAGTATCGAATCTTCTTCAGAAAGCCTGAATCGTTTAGACAGTGGCTCGTGCAAGTGAGGGCAGGTGGCAAGACAATGTGCTTCAATCATGGATGCGGCCGAACGGTGCCGTGTTGCACGAGTGCATCGGGTTGTCTCCCGGGCTGTAAAGTGCCTGGTGATACCTTCGTCATGCCTGCTCACCAACTGTGCCAAGTAGTCATCGGACATTTTTCTGCATGGGTGATCTTGCAGCTTCGGATGGTAAAAACCTATATACAGATTGCTAGATGGCCGGAGGCAAGGAGCCCATAATTCATCTTTTCAGATGTTGGCATGCTGTGTAGCTGCGTGCTGTGGGAGCACTGGGCTTTGCTGGTGACGTGCAAGACAGGAGCTCATGCATCTGTTGGGGGAAGTAGGCTGGATAAAAGCGGGGAGTAGGTAGATCCGGACCAAGGCCGATCACGCAGAGACACCAGAAGAGTTGAAGGGAGCCGAGATGGTTCGGAAGAAGGGTATTGAGATGCTGGACGACGAGGAAGAGATGATGAAGCTTACCCAGGCATCTATGGACAGCCTCTTGGCGAAGCCTAGATGCGAGGCAGCGGGCTTGATAGCCTCACCCGCCGTCCAAGTCACGCGCCTGGTTTGTGTCCTGTAAGGAAATGAGCCGAGCAGAATGGGTGCTGCTCCAGAGCCTGATCCAGATGCACTCGAGGGTGCACTCCCTTACTCACCCATAAAGTCTGATGACTAGTCGCTGCTACCCCGTCGGTGGTAGCCTAGACGAATTTCAATCGCGTGCTATGACATGCTGTCGCATGGTTGTGAATATTCGATTTTTTGTCTGCCATCTGAGCCGACCTCGGTTTTGTATTGTTTAGTGTCCCACCTGCGTGCTTCCAAGGCAAAAACTCACAGAACCCACCAGCTGCCAGGTACATATTACTGAATTGTTGCAAGAAGTCTGGGACCTGAGGTCGTGCGCTTCGCCAGCTGAGTCGGAGTGCACCGCTGCGCTTGCGGATGGGATTCCGCTTCCAGGCCTGCAGCCGAGGCATGCGCTGCCCTGGCCCTCGTGGCCCTCGTGGCCGTGGCCCTCCTCTTTTCCTCAAAGACGTGTCCGGCTCAAAGCGACAGATGCATATCCTGACAACTTGACCTGACCTGTAGCCTCACGCCCACAGCCAGTGATTGCTACATGCCAATACTGTAGTCGGGAGCATTTTCAGGTGAATCCTGCGATGGCCCAGAATAGCAGTTTTGAAGACGATGATGTCTTCTTTGCAAGCCTCTTGGATGACGGGCTGCCTGAAGGTCCGACGGCTCGCAAGCAACCTGGTGCCAGCGAAGCTGAAATTGCACTCGCTTCAGCCATCGATGAGGATGAGACAGCCGGATCCGCGTTCGAGAGTGTGGCCTCCAGTGTGCCACCTGCAGATTTGGATTTTTCCGCCGAGGACCTTTCGCTCAGAGCAGCCCTGATAGCTTTTTATAGAGCACGAAACCCGTCAAATCTCTCAAGCATCAATGCGGTGGTGCGCCGGTTCCGCAGCGAAAACATCGCAGACTTGTGGGCGCAGCTTGCCGTGAAATATGGCGTGCCCCCAGAGGAGGCCGTGGACTTACTGGCAAGAACTTTCTATGCATCGAGCATTGAAGATGACGTGGAGGGCTTGCTGCAGAAGCTACGCTTGCGTGGCAGGGAACTGGAGACCGCTATCACTGAAGGGCATCTAAGTGCGACTCGCGCTTTATGTTCTCGTGGGATTCAGCCCGAATTGCGCGCACGATGCTGGAAGGCGCTTCTGGGATATTTGCCTCCCGGCGGACACACCCACTGGGCGGCAATTCTCCAGCGCAAACGCAATGAATTTGAAGAGCGACTGGCCGAGTTCCTGGACCCGACCAGCTCACTCAAGTCGGAGGACCCGCGTCAAAGCGAGATGTTGGAGACGGTGAAGGACGAAGTCGACCTTACGCTTCGCAGATGTCAGCTTCGTGTGAAGGCTGAATCTCTGGTTTCTATTATCTTCCTGTTTCTGGTTGTGGAAGATTTAGATTACGTTAAGGGAATGAGCGACATGGCCGCCATTCTCGTCCATGTTCTGAGCCAAGATCGCGATTATTCAGATGCAGACGCATACTGGTGTTTTGCTGCGCTTGTTGCCGAGTTGAAGACTCGAATGACAAACGTTGAGCGTACGTCGGCGTTTGTACATGGCTTGGTCGGAACGCGTAGCAGTGTTCTAAGCAGGTATGATGCTGAGCTTTCGGGTCATTTTGCGGCCTTAGAGTTTGAGCCCGGCGTTGTGGTTCTGAGATGGTTCATGCTGCTGTTTGCTGAAGCTTCGCCGGAGTCCTTGGGTGACGTAGTGATGTGGTGGGACGCCTTCCTTGCAGACCCGAACCGCTTCGAGCTTCCAGGCTACGCTTGCGTGGCCTTGTTGCTGGAGCATCGCGAGGACTTGCTCGAGGCGGACAACGTCCTGGACTTGGCAGAGAAGCTGCAAATGTTGCCTCTTCAAGAAGGCTTTAGCTCAGTGATTCGCAAGGCCTGGGCCGTTTGCCTCTTTGAGCGGCGCAAGACTGCGCCGCAGTTCCCTCCTCCCTCAACTGCAGAGGTGGTGAGGGACATGGCCGGGTCTTTCTTTTCTGGTATCTTCACCAACTTCTGACCAGAGAGAGCCTCCGGCTACGCAGAGAAAAGTCGCCCGGAAATTGGATGGAGCTGCCGCGTTAGGGTTGTCCGTCGTCCGTTAACAGGACCCATCCCAGCACGGTGGCTGGGAGGTGAGCAACCTCAAAGGCTATCGCGAGACACGGCTTGGGAGGCCATCCCAAGTCCCCCGTCCTGACTTGACTTTAGATTCTAGATGAGTGTGGGCCGTGTCGGTAAAGGATGCCGCTGCGAGTTGCCAGCGTTGTGCAGGGCGCTCGATCTCGTTCTTGCCAGCTGAAAAGAATACTGGCAAGCGGGCACAGCGGGCAGGTCCTGGCATTCCTATTGGGCCGCCTTCCGTGTTCACGTGCAGAAGCACGATTCGGAAGACAAGGCCGAAATCCACAAGCCCTGGGTTATGCAGTCTAGGGTGTAGTGTGTAGTGCTTTGCAAGAGGCAGACACAATTTCTTGCCTGTTTGGAGGTCATCATTGATCGACAGCTCCTGACCAGGAAGCTGTCTACAGCTGTTGAGAAGCAGAGGTGGAAAGCGTGAGCAAGTTTGCTGGGATTCAATCTCATGCTTTGCCGATTTTTGCCGAAGGCGAGGAGAAGCAAGGCAGCTTTCCAGCGGACGCTTTCACGTCACGGCACACAGCCGTCGACAGCAGGCGCCGAGAGTGCGCACCAAATGCTGTGCTATAGCACACGGGGCGAGAAAGGGGTGTTGACTGGGGGCCAGGTGGGCGGAATGGCGTGGTTTGCCTCGGTAGTGAAACTCACTCGCCCTTACCACGTCATGTGCTGACCACGTGCATCCATGTGCCGCTCACAGATGACGAGCCGCTGACTCTTCATGTGGGCAGGCGGTCGACAAACGGAAGCGCATCAAGGCGGCGGTGTAGTCGTAGTGTTCAATGCGAGCCCGCTCGGATCGCTTGGGGTTCTGCGTTCTCTCAGGTCGTTCGGAAGCAGGCCGACTTGCTGCCCGCTGTTGTCATGAAGCCTGTGGCTTCTCCGACTTTGCTGCTCGACTGCTCCCCACCGTGTTGTCCTGGCATTGGGCGTCTCGCATCCTAGCTACCACCGAGGCCCCGATACACCTTGATCTTCCTGCACGGGATGGGGGAAGTCGCGATGAGCGCAGCTCCAAGTCGCGGCTTGTAGGATGGCAAGGCCTGGGCGCTCGGCTTTGTGTCTCTCAGGATATGCCGACAGGCAGGGGCCCGGGGCGGGGCGCTTCCGGGTGGCCTATCTCGGGACATGTCCGCTTTCCTTCGCCGCGGAAGAGGCCCCACTACTTCCACGATGGGAGCGCGGCTCTCAAGGCAAGCACCGGGCCTGCTCCCTTGCGGTCCGCCCCCTCCCCCTTGCTCTCTGTGCAGGTGCTCATTCCAACGGCACCGCTGCGTGAGGCGCGGTGAAAACTGGAGAGAACGAGACAGGACGTTTCAAACCAGAGCAAGAAGGCAAGGCCAAGGGGTTGAGCTGTTGTTTCATCAAGTCGTGCTGAGATCAGCTGCTTCGACACCTGGTGGTCCAAGGTCGGCTCAGGGGCTGCCTTACACGCTTCCGGCACTTGTCGCGTTTGGTTCTTCTTTGCACAGGTGAAGAGCCGGGATGTGAAGGGAGGCCGTTGGAGATTGGAGAAGTTCAACTCTTGGCACCTGGGCTCCAAATTCAAGTCATTGCGTTGTCCCGCTATGGTGGCAGTCGAGAGGTACGACTACATCAGCAACCGCGGTGGTCGCAAAGAGGCCGCAGAACGATGTCTTCCAAGGCTTCATTGCTTTTCAAGTTCCGCAGGATGCCATTGACATCGACTCCTTGCACCGAACGCAAGAATCACTTCATGAGATCATCGCTCGCGAGGCACGAGGTTTCGGGCTTTGGGCAGCCAAGGGTGCGGTGCATTACGGGACATCGATACGTCGCCTCTCTCAGAGTCAGGCAGAAGAGCTGGGCGGACGTACTGATCGGTGCCTTGGTCAAGCAAGCAATATGAAGTCTGCATCATTACTGAAATTTCTTATCCCTGGAACCCACCTGGAAGCCATTTCCAGATCAAAGCCATCCCCGGATCTAGCTTCGAACTCCTCGTGCCTCGTGTTGCCTCCCGTTTGATACCCATGGAGGCGGAAGTGGCTTGGCCAGATGCAATTCTTGCATGATTTCAGAAAGGTGTGATCGTAACGAATTACTGAGTCTATTTCTTTCGGGTTTAGGGTTTAGGGGAGTGTTCGCTGGCGGGCTGCTGGCTGACGCTAAGAGCCCAGCTGCAAAAAAAGGGGGAGGTGCCTTTCTGCAGCCGCAAGCAGGCGGAGAAGGTGGTCTCGAAGGGTGCCGCAGCTCGGCGTGGATGTGGGCAGATCTAAGAGCACTCTATCAGATTGTCTGCGCCAGGCCCGCGTGGGGCGACGAAGAACAGAGCTGGGATCTGAGTTGCTCTTGGTTAAGTTGCAGATGTGCAGTGGGTCTATGGGTCCATGGCTTCTGGGTCAGGGGCGACTACAGTATTGGGAACAGCCCTCAGATGACTCTTGCAATCTGTTCGAACCGCAGCTTACATCTGTTGCTCGCACCTGTTTTGACAAAACGAGGAGGCAGCTGGCGGCATCGGGTTCGACCCATGCGTTCAGAGGAAGCCTTGCTTCCAACAGGTGCTATGCCGGCAGATTCACATGGCCCCCAGCAGCCTGAGACTTCAGGCGGCACTTGCTGCCGCCCAGTCCGAGCGCCGGTGCCGCCCGGCCATCCCGGCGACCCGAGGATGGTCGCGACCCCAGCAGCCCCAGCAGACGAGAGCCGACTTCAGCTCTCTGTTGCATCCATCCGTCCCTCGAGCCTCGAGGCAGCTACAGCCCGGAGCCGTGCTTGGATGCCGGCGGCCCGGGCATTTGAGCCGAGGCAAAGGCTGTTGCACTCATCCCAGGTGCATTCAGACACATTTCAGCGGCGGTCCACCCTCCCGGCCCTCGTCGATGCTTTGCTCAAGCTACACCGTGTCATGCCGATCGTCTTGTGGCTGTATTTGGTCGTCAGGATACGAACACGCAAGCGTTGATGCTCGCCCGACAGCTCCAATTGGACTTTCACGAAGTGACCCGCCACTGTTGAGATGGATGCGTTGTCGTGGCATGCAGCCTTCGGTGGCAGAGTCTCTGAGGTGAAGTTCGCTGTGGAGGAGTATCGGGGGAGCGCCAAGCTCGCAAATGGAGGCGTCCTAGTTCTCACACAAACTGACTAGGTCGCCTGGCCGCGGCCGAATACACCCGACATGCCGTGGAAGGACGTGAAACCATCAAACAGGTGTGAGCTACAGAACAGCACCGCAGGATCGAGCAGCATATTGCCATCAGTGGACAAATCGTCAGTATGCCAAGTGTTAGTTGACAGGGGAAAATGCAGTTGTCGTGTTGATGCTTGGCTCCGGTGCCCGTTGGTAATGCTGTGCAGTGTGCTGCAGCAAGATATCAGCTCTACAACTCAGGTCGATCCGTAAACTTGAGCCAAGACTTTCTCTAACTTAGGGTCGGCCGGAGTGTGCAACCTGCAATAGCCGAGCCGCATGCAGTGTGCGATTGAACAGAACAAGACAACATGCAACAGATGAATTGGAGGGTGACTATTCTCTGTAGGGCTTGTAAGTGTAGATACGTAATTCGTGGGTATGTCATGTTGTCTTCCTGCCGCATTGGGTGATCTTTGTTTCTTCTGCAACCGGTTGCCGTGGAGCCTTGCCTGCGTGCGAGCGCGAGAGTCAGCGAAAGAAGTTCGTGGCTTTTTGGATTGGCAGAGTGCCCCTGGGTTGGCTGCAACGAATCCGCAGGCATGGATCTTGACAGCTTCCGCTGCCTGGCTGCTTCTGTGTCTATTTCTGAGTCAGATTTCTTGGGTCGGGCTTCCGGGCCTAAGGTAACTTTTTGCTGCGCGTTTTCGATATCAAGCAGATCTCGGATCACATGCTTCATGATGCTTACGAAGAGTGCCAGGCCCGCTGAAAGACTCCAGCATGATGTGACGTGAGGAACTGTGACGTGTATCGTGGAGAGGCGGGGACCGGGCCGATGAACACACGGCGCTTCCTCTCTTGGTGCCTTGGCGCTTGGCATGCTTGGCATTGTCTGTTCGATATGAAGGCGATGGCCCACGACCCAGGTACCGGGACCACATGTTCTCACTGCAGGCCTCGCCGACAGGACACCCCGGCGACGGCATTGCGTTTGGGGTTTGCTTTCTGCTTGCACCCTCGGGCTGAGAGGAGGCCATGACAAGGGAGATCATCTAACACTGGAGCTTGCCAAAAAGTATCAGCTGCGATCTTAGGCTTGGGTGCACAGGGCACTTCTGTGCTGGCGGATGCTCACAAGCCGAGGTGCTCATGCATCGATCTTGACAGGGTCAAGGCGCAGTTTGACAACTTCGATCTCGACAAGTCAGGCACCCTTCATCTGACAGGACAAGTAAGTTGGGTTTGGCATGGCTTGGCTCGCGCGAGGTGTCATTGAGTACAGTGAGTTCGAGAACATGATCCAGAAGTTGCTACACTGTCCCCGCAAATCCGTGGCCCGGCGTCAGGAATGCTTTTTCCATACAAGCTTTTGGGATGGCACCCGGGCAACACGGGTGATGTTATGCGAAGCAGCCTCGGCTCGTCAAAGAACGGTGGCCAAGCGAGCAAACAAAACTCTCCAGTTGCGGACACTGTCTTCCTCACCTGGAAGCAGGGAACACCTACACAGTTGCAGAAGGCCCTCCTTGACCGACGCAGCCACGACTTCCCCCCCCCGGCTAACATTGCAGTTGTCACACAATTTGTCGGTCGCGGCCTTCTGTCTGCCTCTCTTTCGAGGGCAGGATAGGCATGTACAGCAGCCTTGACTGCTGTGCTCGTAGGTCTGCTGTGCTGGCTGGTTGTGTTGCTTTGTTTGTCCCGCGCCGCCTTCAGAAGTAGGTGCAGGGCCGACAGTGGACTGTAGCAGGACGTTCGTTCGTCAGGCGTTCGAGCAACAGGGGCATTGCCGCTCACGTACAACATCTTGCGGATGGTCCGGCCCGACCACGCGAGCCTGACCCGCTCATGCTCGTCTTAGCCTTCAGGGTACTGAGCAGTACAGACACTCGTTTGGCCTGTGGTGGGGTGGCATAATGGTCAGGTGCATGAAGACGTGCTTTGCGGATGCAGAAGCGTGTCTTCTGCCAGCTCGGCGACGTAAAACCAATCCTCGGGTGAGAATGTGGCTGCCCTCTTGAGTAGGAGGCCTGTTTCGAACATACCCAAAAGCCGAATTGCAGCAGAAACTGCTCGCAAAATCTGAGCTTAAAGCGGACAGCATGGTGCGGTCCTGGTCCTCTCAGCGGGCACTCCTTCGCCAAGGAGGTTCGGTGTCTCACGAAGATTCGAGATGGATGTGGGAAGAAACGGGCCAGCGCCGTAGACCGTTGATGAACGACAGGATGCGATCAGTGGCCCTTTCAGGAACGTGTTGTTGTAGCACCCAGACATACCCGCCCTTTCCTTTCAAGGGGTGGCCTCTTCTTAGTGCACGTGCAGCCTCAAGGATCTTCCACCGCATCGGATGCAGAGATTCTGGCACGAAATCGACAGGGACAGGAATGGAATCTCGGCAAGAAACACGGCTGGCATGCTTCTTTGCGTAACTTGATGAAGTGGCTTGCTCGTAGTTTGCACCGGGCCTGCTGCCGTTTCAGAGGCAGCGTGGACTTCCAGGAGTTCACCGCGCGGCTCAGCTTGCACAATTTTTTCAGTACTTTGGCAGATTCCCATCTTCGCCTAGCCGAGGTGGTATCTGAAGTATTTTGCAGCCGCTCAGGAATCAGGACCGATTGAGGCCTTCTATGTTGCTGGTCAGCATTTCTGCCAATCATTTCTGCGACCAGACGGAAGACGCAGCCTGTGCTCCAACTTGGACTTTTTTGAGGCTTCTTTCATGCCGGACGTCCAACGAGCTCACAGTTTAGAGGTGTTGGAGGCAAAGGTACAGGACTGCAGACTGCAATGATCTGCAATACCGCGAACGCCGCTATGCCATGACACACTTCCCCGCATATCTCAGGAGGAGGCCCAAAAAGAGAGGACTGCCAAGGAGAAGTTCCTGATGTCAGATGCAAAGTCGTGTTCTGCGCTTGGCTGACCCAGAAGGGAGTTGACCAGGGCACCACAGCGTCGGCCGACCAGGCCCCTCGGATTTAAGTGTGGAGTGCAAGGGTGTTTGTGAGCTTCAGGCGCGAGACGCAAGCCCCTTACACAAAGGAGACTCCTTAACGTCCTCCCTGGGGCGATGTACAGCCACAAGCCCGCTGTTTTCGTTTGAAGGCCTTTAGCCTCCAAGTCTGGGAAGCCTTCAAGAGCTTTGCCCGAAGCTGAGAGGTCCAGGCATGATCCAAATTCGAGGGAAGGAACGGAGTTGTGAGTTGTGAGTCGTATGGTCTGTGCTCCTGGACTTGAGCCGGAGGAATTTTATGAGTCTCAGCTTGGCATAGCAATTCTGGGATTCTGACTATGCGTGTTTCTTGTCTTGCGTTTAGCCCGGTCGAGAGCTTGCACATAGCAGGCATCTGTACAGGGCTCTGTGTCGAAAGCGCGATGTACTTACAAAGAAGTCCTCGCCATGGTTCCGGACCATCGTCGGGAATGCCAACCTATCAACAGACTTGCTCGTGTGTCGCTAAGTACCGAACGAGCGACACAGATCCATCTTCCCAGCTATTTCGCTTCGAACTGCCGGTGTTGAAGAAGAGAGAGTCGCACACACCCTTTGAGAGCTCCTCCCATAGCCCGTGCCCACACCGCTCCTGCAAGTCCGGAACAAGCTACGAGGCCTCGCTTGGCTGTGGGAAAAAGGAGGAATGCAGTGAGCCAGAGCTGAGCGAACCGCCGACGCATCAGACTCCGCAGACTGGAGTTTTCCCGTCTCAGGATTATCCTGGGAGGCAAGTCGCAGGGGTGCGTAACAGCACTGGATGCCCGTCTCCCGGTGGCCATCCCGCTGCGTGCCTCAACTTCTAGCACTAGCGAAGCGAGGCAGTGCTCACTTACCCGAAGAGGCAGCGGTCAGCGGTTCCCATGTTTCGCTTCCATCCCCTGCAGCGAGCCTTCTCCCTCGTCTGTGTAGGTTGGGCGGCTTCATTGGCTTGGTGGGCCACCTGCTCTCCTGCACTCCTGTTGAAGAGAATGGCCCGCAGATCCAAACGTCGGAGACCCCAGCCATGTGTCCTCCCTCAAGAAAGAGTAGCGAGTCGTGCCGAGGCCGCTGCACTTCTACCACGAAGTTGAGGATCGTGCCGTAATCTTGAAGCTGCCGCCAGAGTTAGGGCCGTTAGGGGTTGGGGTCCTTGGGGGGATCCGCCGGACCGGAGGACGACATCATGCAGTGGCACTGGGCATGGATCTCAGTTGGGTTGGGTTGATGTTGATGTGAGCTTGTAAGCACCACCACCGTTGCAATACGACATCGTCACTATCACCATCACCGTGCCATCAGACCACCACCTGGAAGCAAGATGCTTACAGACAGTGAAAGAGTGCAGAGGTAACCGGACACCTTTGCAGGTGTCGAAGATGGAGCGACGCCTGCGAAGCTCCAACTACAATGCCCTCAGCTCTGGAAGTTTAGGTCCGCAGAAGAGTGGTGCGCAGCAGCCAGGGCTAGGAATGCTCGGGAAAGTCTTGAGCTGAAGAGTCTGCGGAGTGTGGGGAGTGTGGGTGTGTGCGTGGGTAATGGATAACCTTCGGGATCCGTGCAGAAAGCACGGCAAACACAGAAAGCAAGTTGTAGAATCCTGGAAGTCGGAAAAACTCACCGGTGCTCCAAAGCTTCCCCCCAACCCCCAAACTGGCCTCGCCCGAGGTGCGCTCCTTCCGAGGCTCGAATCCATTTTCTCAGGGGGTGCGTAGCATTCTCTTTGCTCTTCCTCTCTTTCGGCCTGTGGAAGGCAAAGATCCTGAGGGCAACGGCCACTTTGTGGGAGGCGTCGAGGGCGCCTGGATCAGGACTGCTGCGCTGGACACTACTGGCAGTCTGATGACAGATTGTGACAGTGTGGATTTTGGCACTGTTGTGTGACAGCGTGTTCCACAGATTCATGTCGAAGCTAAAACGGTTCGGCCCTGGGGTGAGAAGCTGTGGCAGGAAGTCGCTGAGGATGATCTGTGAAGCGCGGAGTGGCTAATGCTGCAGCTGCGACTCTTTTGCCTCCTGCCCTTGGAAAACGGTAACATGAGACGAGGCAGCTTTGGTGGCCAAGGGATGCAAGCCCTGACAAGGGGCACATGGCCTGCCCTTAGCAGGCTTGCAATTCAAACAAGCGGCAGTGGCAATGCCCCAAGCCCCAGCCAGTCGAAGCTGAGAAGTCCACATCTTTCCTGTAAACCTGTCAGGTTACCTTGCCATAGCCGCGATCTTCCGAGAAGCAAAGAGCTTCGATGTTCGCGTTTTCCCACGCCGGCCAACAGGCCGGCTTTGGCCCGCGGCAAGCAGCCCAGCCCTGCGCCAAAGCCCTTCCATGCAACCCGTGAGGATGTAGTCGTTCCTGGGGATGATGCTGTCATCATGCCATGATCATGTTTCCTTGGCTCCACGGCACCAGACCCATGATTTCATAAAAATTCCTCGTTGTGAATCGCTTCGCAAAGGAGCAGGGCCCTGGGATGCTTCAGGCGCGAGGCTGTGTAGAACTCGGGGGGTGGCTCCAGGTCTCACTTTGACGGGCCACAGGGAGCAGTGGCCCATGGCGACCGGACCAAGCTTCAGGCAGAGTGGCAACAACACAGACATGGCTAAGCAGGAAGCAGTATTCAGCATTGCATGGTAGGAGACCACAGACCTAGATGTGCGTAAAACAGCAACGGCGAGCCTTCCTAGTCCTAGTTGCGCAGAACTGCATCTGCAACACCAACGTGCCAAGGCACACTGCGTGTGGTTACTTGTATTCCGCTGTCTCTTGCTTGAAGAAGGCACGGCAGTAGACAAGTGTCGCGTCGTGGTGGAGTTATCGTAAGCGATCATGTGGTGGAGTTATTGTAAACGGTCAGTGTCCTGTAGACCACCTGGTCCTGGAACGGTGCGGCGGACTTCCCGCTGTCGATTCAGAGTTGATTGTCAAATAACATCACTTTTCAGAACATCACTGGCATCCTGAAGAATTGAAGCCCTGAAGCTTCAGCTGTCCGGCCGTGGCCAGAATCCGCCATGCACTCCTGCCAAGCGCACGGGGAGATCTCAGGACGACTAGTACTAGGGTGGGCCTGAACCTGGACAGGAAGACCTGCATACCTGTCGTATGCATGTCACTGGCAAAGACTAGTGTAGTGCTGTCTTGAAACATCTTGAAACAGCCGTTCTCCCTGCTGCGTGCTTGCATGGCAGCGCAAGAACCGTCAACGGACGAAGCCCAAGGCCAGTCCCAGGAGGGGAGACGGGTTGGCCAAAAAATCATGGGCCGCAGCTTTTCATCCGTTTTTGATGCTCAGCAAGTTGATCGCAGGTTTGAAGCTATGGCCTTGTCCATAACGTGGGCTCAAGTATTTGTTTCACCCTTAACATGATGAGTCCACTGACGGCCGACAACTTCCAGCTCTCCGGCCCTGGGGGCACAGGTTGTCTCTGGAACGGGCGTTGCGCTTGAAACGCGAATGACGAGCTCCGAGTCGCTCAGACCACGAAGCTGGCCTTTGGGGCTGAAAAGTTAGGAAGGAGGGTACCGTGCCTTCTATTTACAGTCGGACCCAAAAGGATCTTCCAGGTGATATGCCGTCCGAATTCGATGGTCCGAGGCCCACGATGCCTGCCAGGGACATTGCACTTCTTCGCTCGACTTACAGACGAGCGCGTGCCCGGATTTTGATTCATTGCTGCTCCATCCCATCCTTGTTCCGGGGTCCATCAGCAGCTGCAGTGGTGGATTTTAACTTTCTTGTGTCAGGTATGCATTATAATTTGCGGAAGAAGGATGTGGCGAAACGTTGCGAGCTCTTCCACTTGGCAGCGCAGTCGATTTTTGCCGGTGTCTCTGAAGTCTTCCAGGACAGAGGCCGTAGAGTCGCAGTAGATAAATCGTGGAAGTGGAAATTAGCGCTTGTGGGTTTTCCCGAGTTGTTTCGAGGAGCGAAAGAGGATTGCCGGTCTGGTCCTGCGCAACTGGTCCGCAGTGGCCAGTGCAAACTACATGCAAGGCTCCGTGTTTCTGAAGGCCTCCATGGAAAGCCTGGCTTCTGAGGCGCCGTCGCAACCGAAAAGTGCCGCCACGACACCAGGGAGCAGATGGAAGAGGGCTTTCTTAAACGACTGGGGCGCCCCAAGCTCAAGGCGCGGAGCCGGAACTCCGGAACTGGAATCCCTCGAAGACCCTTCCTGAAGCATTGAGGCTCCGGAGTCTCGACGCTTCAAGGCCCATGTGGGACCGCCTCGGAGCGAGGTTCATGAAATGACCGCCGTCTGAAGGCCATCTTCGACTCGGCGGACAGCCTCCTTCTCAACAACTTCCCTCTTGCTGGGGAGGCCATGTGCAAGGCCTGGTACAAGGCTGCGGGAGAAAGAAAAGGTGGGGCAGCAGCTGAGCCCTCCCGAGAGGCCTTGTTCTGCAGCAAGGAGGAGTTTGCCGAGCGGTCGCAGGGGCTCGGCAACTTGCTCCGATGCCAGAGCACTTTGGAATCCAACATCAGGAAAGGCGTGGGGACAGGTATGACTGGTGGATGGCCGCCGGTCACTGCTGATTGCCAACAATCGCTTTACACGACCGTAGACTTACTATTAGCGCTGGTGATCACGAAATCTGTGGTCGACCGGTGCATCCGACTCCTATATGAGCCAACAGGCACGTACGACATGCTGCAGAACAGCTTGGGGCAGGATCCGCGAGTCAGCTTGCACAACAAAGCGGTGGTTCACGAGACATCTTCTTCGCGGTGCAGCGGTTGCAGGTTCCCGCGGATGCGCACGCGGACCCACATAGCGATTCGGTTGCCGTCTTGGCGGCCTGGAGACGTACTACTTCATGCAAGTTGGTGACTTCCAAACGGTTGTGATGGCTACCAGCAGCGAGCGTTGGCCCCTTGGATCCAAGTACACACGCAGACCCACATAGCCATAGCCGCGATCTTCCGAGAAGCAAAGAGCTTCGATGTTCGCGTTTTCCCACGCCGGCCAACAGGCCGGCTTTGGCCCGCGGCAAGCAGCCCAGCCCTGCGCCAAAGCCCTTCCATGCAACCCGTGAGGATGTAGGTGTTCCTGGGGATGATGCTGTCATCATGCCATGATCATGTTTCCTTGGCTCCACGGCACCAGGCCCATGATTTCATAAAAATTCCTCGTTGTGAATCGCTTCGCAAAGGAGCAGGCTGGGATGCTTCAGGCGCGAGGCTGTGTAGAACTCGGGGGGTGGCTCCAGGTCTCACTTTGACGGGCCACAGGGAGCAGTGGCCCATGGCGACCGGACCAAGCTTCAGGCAGAGTGGCAACAACACAGACATGGCCAATCAGGAAGCAGTATTCAGCATTGCATGGTAGGAGACCACAGACCTAGATGTGCGTAAAACAGCAACGGCAAGCCTTCCTAGTCCTAGTTGCGCAGAACTGCATCTGCAACTCCAATGTTCCAAGGCACACTGCGTGTGGTTACTTGTTTTCCGCTATCTCTTGCTTGAAGAAGGCACGGCAGTAGACAAGTGTCGCGTCGTGGTGGAGTTATCGTAAACGAGCACGTGGTGGAGTTATCGTAAACGGTCAGTGTCCTGTAGACCACCTGGTCCTGGAACGGTGCGGCGGACTTCTCGCTGTCGATTCAGAGTTGATTGTCAAATAACATCACTTTTCAGAACATCACTGGCATCCTGAAGAATTGAAGCCCTGAAGCTTCAGCTGTCCGGCCGTGGCCAGAATCCGCCATGCGCTCCTGCCAAGCGCACGGGGAGATCTCAGGACGACTAGTACTAGGGTGGGCCTGAACCTGGACAGGAAGACCTGCATACCTGTCGTATGCATGTCACTGGCAAAGACTAGTGTAGTGCTGTCTGGAAATAGCCGTTCTCCCTGCTGCGTGCTTGCATGGCAGCGCAAGAACCCTCAACGGACGAAGGCCCAGGGCCAGTCCCAGGATGGGAGACGGGTTGGCCAAAAAATCATGGGCCGCAGCTTTTCATCCGTTTTTGATGCTCAGCAAGTTGATCGCACGTTTGAAGCTATGGCCTTGTCCATAACGTGGGCTCAAGTATTTGTTTCACCCTTAACATGATGAGTCCACTGACGGCCGACAACTTCCAGGTTTCCGGCCCTGGGGGCACAGGTTGTCTCCGGAACGGGCGTTGCGCTTGAAACGCGAATGACGAGCTCCGAGTCGCTCGGACCGCGAAGCTGGCCTTTGGGGCTGAAAAGTTAGGAGGGAGGGTACCGTGCCTTCTATTTACAGTCGGACCCAAAAGGATCTTCCAGGTGATATGCCGTCCGAATTCGATGGTCCGAGGCCCACGATGCCTGCCAGGGACATTGCACTTCTTCGCTCGACTTACAGACGAGCGCGTGCCCGGATTTTGATTCATCGCTGCTCCATCCCATCCTTGTTCCGGGGTCCATCAGCAGCTGCAGTGGTGGATTTTAACTTTCTTGTGTCAGGTATGCATTATAATTTGCGGAAGAAGGATGTGGCGAAACGTTGCGAGCTCTTCCACTTGGCAGCGCAGTCGATTCCAGGACAGAGGCCGTAGAGTCGCAGCAGATAAATCGTGGAAGTGGAAATTAGCGCTTGTGGGTTTTCCCGAGTTGTTTCGAGGAGCGAAAGAGGATTGCCGGTCTGGTCCTGCGCAACTGGTCCGCAGTGGCCAGTGCAAACTACATGCAAGGCTCCGTGTTTCTGAAGGCCTCCATGGAAAGCCTGGCTTCTGAGGCGCCGTCGCAACCGAAAAGTGCCTCCACGACACCAGGGAGCAGATGGAAGAGGGCTTTCTTAAACGACTGGGGCGCCCCAAGCTCAAGGCGCGGAGCCGGAACTCCGGAACTGGAATCCCTCGAAGACCCTTCCTGAAGCATTGAGGCTCCGGAGTCTCGATGCTTCAAGGCCCATGTGGGACCGCCTCGGAGCGAGGTTCATGAAATGACCGCCGTCTGAAGGCCATCTTCGACTCGGCGGACAGCCTCCTTCTCAACAACTTCCCTCTTGCTGGGGAGGCCATGTGCAAGGCCTGGTACAAGGCTGCGGGAGAAAGAAAAGGTGGGGCAGCAGCTGAGCCCTCCCGAGAGGCCTTGTTCTGCAGCAAGGAGGAGTTTGCCGAGCGGTCGCAGGGGCTCGGCAACTTGCTCCGATGCCAGAGCACTTTGGAATCCAACATCAGGAAAGGCGTGGGGACAGGTATGACTGGTGGATGGCCGCCGGTCACTGCTGATTGCCAACAATCGCTTTACACGACCGTAGACTTACTATTAGCGCTGGTGATCACGAAATCTGTGGTCGACCGGTGCATCCGACTCCTATATGAGCCAACAGGCACGTACGACATGCTGCAGAACAGCTTGGGGCAGGATCCGCGAGTCAGCTTGCACAACAAAGCGGTGGTTCACGAGACATCTTCTTCGCGGTGCAGCGGTTGCAGGTTCCCGCGGATGCTGCGCACGCGGACCCACATAGCGATTCGGTTGCCGTCTTGGCGGCCTGGAGACTTACTACTTCATGCAAGTTGGTGACTTCCAAACGGTTGTGATGGCTACCAGCAGCGAGCGTTGGCCCCTTGGATCCAAGTACGCACGCGGACCCACATAGCCATAGCCGCGATCTTCCGAGAAGCAAAGAGCTTCGATGTTCGCGTTTTCCCACGCCGGCCAACAGGCCGGCTTTGGCCCGCGGCAAGCAGCCCAGCCCTGCGCCAAAGCCCTTCCATGCAACCCGTGAGGATGTAAGTGTTCCTGGATGATTTCATAAAAATTCCTCGTTGTGAATCGCTTCGCAAAGGAGCAGGCTGGGATGCTTCAGGCGCGAGGCTGTGTAGAACTCGGGGGGTGGCTCCAGGTCTCACTTTGACGGGCCACAGGGAGCAGTGGCCCATGGCGACCGGACCAAGCTTCAGGCAGAGTGGCAACAACATTCAGCATTGCATGGTAGGAGACCACAGACCTAGATGTGCGTAAAACAGCAACGGCAAGCCTTCCTAGTCCTAGTTGCGCAGAACTGCATCTGCAACTCCAATGTTCCAAGGCACACTGCGTGTGGTTACTTGTATTCCGCTATCTCTTGCTTGAAGAAGGCACGGCAGTAGACAAGTGTCGCGTCGTGGTGGAGTTATCGTAAACGATCACGTGGTGGAGTTATCGTAAACGGTCAGTGTCCTGTAGACCACCTGGTCCTGGAACGGTGCGGCGGACTTCTCGCTGTCGATTCAGAGTTGATTGTCAAATAACATCACTTTTCAGAACATCACTGGCATCCTGAAGAATTGAAGCCCTGAAGCTTCAGCTGTCCGGCCGTGGCCAGAATCCGCCATGCGCTCCTGCCAAGCGCACGGGGAGATCTCAGGACGACTAGTACTAGGGTGGGCCTGAACCTGGACAGGAAGACCTGCATACCTGTCGTATGCATGTCACTGGCAAAGACTAGTGTAGTGCTGTCTGGAAATAGCCGTTCTCCCTGCTGCGTGCTTGCATGGCAGCGCAAGAACCCTCAACGGACGAAGGCCCAGGGCCAGTCCCAGGATGGGAGACGGGTTGGCCAAAAAATCATGGGCCGCAGCTTTTCATCCGTTTTTGATGCTCAGCAAGTTGATCGCACGTTTGAAGCTATGGCCTTGTCCATAACGTGGGCTCAAGTATTTGTTTCACCCTTAACATGATGAGTCCACTGACGGCCGACAACTTCCAGGTTTCCGGCCCTGGGGGCACAGGTTGTCTCCGGAACGGGCGTTGCGCTTGAAACGCGAATGACGAGCTCCGAGTCGCTCGGACCGCGAAGCTGGCCTTTGGGGCTGAAAAGTTAGGAGGGAGGGTGCCGTGCCTTCTATTTACAGTCGGACCCAAAAGGATCTTCCAGGTGATATGCCGTCCGAATTCGATGGTCCGAGGCCCACGATGCCTGCCAGGGACATTGCACTTCTTCGCTCGACTTACAGACGAGCGCGTGCCCGGATTTTGATTCATCGCTGCTCCATCCCATCCTTGTTCCGGGGTCCATCAGCAGCTGCAGTGGTGGATTTTAACTTTCTTGTGTCAGGTATGCATTATAATTTGCGGAAGAAGGATGTGGCGAAACGTTGCGAGCTCTTCCACTTGGCAGCGCAGTCGATTTTTGCCGGTGTCTCTGAAGTCTTCCAGGACAGAGGCCGTAGAGTCGCAGTAGATAAATCGTGGAAGTGGAAATTAGCGCTTGTGGGTTTTCCCGAGTTGTTTCGAGGAGCGAAAGAGGATTGCCGGTCTGGTCCTGCGCAACTGGTCCGCAGTGGCCAGTGCAAACTACATGCAAGGCTCCGTGTTTCTGAAGGCCTCCATGGAAAGCCTGGCTTCTGAGGCGCCGTCGCAACCGAAAAGTGCCGCCACGACACCAGGGAGCAGATGGAAGAGGGCTTTCTTAAACGACTGGGGCGCCCCAAGCTCAAGGCGCGGAGCCGGAACTCCGGAACTGGAATCCCTCGAAGACCCTTCCTGAAGCATTGAGGCTCCGGAGTCTCGACGCTTCAAGGCCCATGTGGGACCGCCTGGGAGCGAGGTTCATGAAATGACCGCCGTCTGAAGGCCATCTTCGACTCGGCGGACAGCCTCCTTCTCAACAACTTCCCTCTTGCTGGGGAGGCCATGTGCAAGGCCTGGTACAAGGCTGCGGGAGAAAGAAAAGGTGGGGCAGCAGCTGAGCCCTCCCGAGAGGCCTTGTTCTGCAGCAAGGAGGAGTTTGCCGAGCGGTCGCAGGGGCTCGGCAACCTGCTCCGATGCCAGAGCACTTTGGAATCCAACATCAGGAAAGGCGTGGGGACAGGTATGACTGGTGGATGGCCGCCGGTCACTGCTGATTGCCAACAATCGCTTTACACGACCGTAGACTTACTATTAGCGCTGGTGATCACGAGATCTGTTGTCGACGGTGCCTATGCGGATGACGATCACGATGAGGGTAAGGACCTGGATGGATGGATTGAGATGATGACGGTGATGGATGATGACGATGGCCAGGGCAATGGAGATGGTGCGGTGGTGTTGATGAGTGTTTCTCACGTTGATGATCTCCGAGCCGACGCTGCTGCTCATGTCATTTGCCTGCAGATGGACCGCTGTTCGGCCCAGCCTGATTGCAAGAAGCTGCTGCTGCCACGACGACGACGGCGGGCACTACCTAGAACCAGTGCTGGTGCTGGAGTGGCAGTCGTACACGGCAGTGGCAGCCGTAGTGCTCGCAGTATGGCGGTGCTGGTGGTGGCGGCGTCGGTGGACGTCGTAGTAGCATCCGCAGCAGTCACAGCAGCAACGATGATGCACAAAGTTATCGTTTGTAGTAGGGGCGGCCCGCAAGGTCATGCATGAATTACTAAATATACTGATAGGAGGATGAACGTAAGTGGAGCAACGGATTCTCAACGAGGATCATGGGACTGATGGCTCGCACGCAACGCATGCTGGCTTTTTGCTTGATCTCTGGACCCTGCCACTAGCAGGACACACGAATTGGCCGCCACAATTCTTTCCTCCTTGTCCGCTCTGCATGAGCAGCTCCTCGCCGTGGAGGTGGGGCGGCAGCAAGGATCTTAGCACTTGAGCGATCAGAATATATTTAGTCGTTCTTATGTTGCAATGAGATATGCCCTTATGCCATGCGAGATGTAATGGTCATGTTGCGCAATCTTATGCTATGCCACGATGCGATGTTCTTGTATGATGTGTCACGTGGCATGGCAGCGATTGGTATGGCATGGGAGTAAAACTGATTTGGTCCGGATGGTATTTCACAGGAATTGTGTGGCAGGCTGGTGTTGTGTCGTGTTGCGTTATGCTACAGTCAGGCCGCGCCTGCTTGCCTCTGCAGTACCCTGACATACTGTGATATCTCCGCAGGCCACTAATGTATGTTAAGCCATGCAGTGTAACGTCACTGTTTCATACTTCGTGCAAGCTCACCCTGTCAAGTAGTTGACAAGTTCCCGTTTGTAGTTGCCGGTATGGTCACGGCGCCAGGCTGCACCTGTTCAGACCGAGTGGACCCAGTGGCACAGTGCCGTTCGCAAACGTTGCTGGCCCAAGTCGTTCTGCTCTGATAGGTGTGAACTTGATTCGGTACTTCTTCCGACAAATAGGAAGTCCTGCTCTGAGCTGCCGAGGTCGCGTGTCACGAGAACTTATTGAGGATAACGTGGATGCTGGCGATCCAAGCGTGGTTCCTGCACCAGTACAAGCTAGCCAAAGTGTCAAAGTCGAAGTTTCGCCGCTCCCGCCTCTGCCGGCGCCAAGCCTGAGTGTCAAGGAGGTATTGCCGGTGTTGCAGCCATTGCAGCCATTGCTGCCTAGCGTCTCGGACACGCGTTCCCTCAGCTCCTTTGGCCCCATGATGAAGAGCACAGTCCAGGATGTGTCGAAGGAGGACCAAGCAGCACAAGAGCCGTCGGTGTTGCGGGGGGGAGGTTCACCCCAAACTTTTGACTTCTCCGGTCCACTTCAAGCGGAAGCGCCGGAAGCGCCTGGAAGACGGCGCAGGAGTTTTTTTTCTTTGGCCTCGGGGCCGAGCCCTTCGAAGCAAACGAGAGGCCAAAAAAAGTCAGCGGGGCGACTGGCCTCGGGGCCGCCGGGCCCGCCGCCGGGCCAAGGCCAGGACTTGGACTTGAGCGGGCTAGCCTTGGAAGCTTCTACTCTGAGGCTTCCCATTCTGACAAGGAAAGAGGCGGATGACGCCGTGGCGACGTCGGAAAAGGAGCCCTTGGAGCCTTTGGAGCCTCAACAGAGCACCTTACCGATGATGCGGATTTCCTCCACCTTGCAAGCTGAGGGGCCTCTGGGGCGGCTTGGGCTTACTGCGGCCTCAGAGCCTCTGCGGAAGAAGCGGTGGAAGCGGGAGCGGATGCGAGCGTTGATGGTGACCAGCCAGAGCATCTCCGGGGTGCCTGCCATGGACTGGATCCTTCCGGTCGTGGCTGATGCATCGGTGCGACCGATTCAGAAGTTCAACTCCCCTTCTGACATAGGCGCCAGACTGAAATCTAGAAATCTGCACGGTAGATCTCGCAAGTCTGCGGCTTCAATTCCGATCAGCAAAGGGACGTTCTTCCCAGCTCTGTGTTAATGTACAGGGTGTACAGCCGCTTTTGGCTACCCTTTAGTTACTAGTTGCGGTTGCGTGATTGCATGGACCGATCATACGAGGCTTCGGAGCTTCGTTTTTCCATGGGACATCACCTCGAAGAGGCACTGGCCCACTGGACCCCATTCCCTCGTTCGGTCATGTATGTCGAGGTCCTTTAGTGTGTGACTTTGAGAAGGTGTCCACACACGACTCGGGTCAGAACCAGTTTTCAGACTCGCAGAGTGGGAAAATCTGCTGCATGCCGCCATGAGCTCGAACGTAGGAATGAATTGCTACGCTTCCAGCCGGCACTCAACATCACCACATAGTTACTTGGACACGTTTCTGTCACGTTGCCGTTCCGTGTGCTTGTGAGTCGTGCCTGTCGAGAACATGGCCAGCTCAAGCAAGAAAACAACATCGACACGTCGCGCTAACTTGATCGAATCATGTTCGAAGGGTGTTGGCTTAAAGCCGTAACGCCGTACAGCAAGCTGCTTAGCATGCACCGTCGGAGCACCGATCATGTGTTGACGGCATCTCAAGTTTCGATTGCTCGTTGGGGCACAGTGCAGACGGCGCCATGGAGGACTGCGCAAATGTTGTAGCATTGCCTAGGCCTATTAGACCCACGGGACCCACACCATGGGCAGTCGCAGGACTCCCTGATGGCCGGATCCAAAGAATCCCAGTTGTCTCCACTGGCATCCTCCAGCCGTCGCAACAATGCCTGGCATGATGTGCTCGAGACCCTCGGCTGCATAGGTTCTCCTGCAGCCGCTCAGAACTTGGCTTGCATCACAGATGTTGTTGACCATGCAGGATCTGCAAGAAGGGCTTTGCCAATAAGATGTGGCCATGCTGCACCAGGGCAGAGCATGCCATCTGTTTGGCCTGAGCCGATCCTGAGCCTTTGCTCAGCCCCTGAGGAGCAGCATGAGCCACGAGATCCTTGGCGAGGTGCGGCTAGAAGTCGACCAGAGTGCGACGGCCTTGCGCAAGGAGCCTGCTTCACTCTTGCCATGCTCAGTCTAGTAGAAAGAATTTCCCAATGAGAATTTTCACTTTCGAGCTCCTGAGGACGTGGCTGGCATGTTGGAAGCTGGGAGTGCATGCTTTTCACTTTCCAGTATTTTCCATGTGATGGAGCAGTTAACAGCATGTAGCAACGTAGAAGACTTGTCGTCGCAAGGCCTTCAGTTGGCTTGCATGGCTTGTTCGGAGCAACATCATGGAGTTGAGCGGCTTGCATCCATGTACACACTATGGCTGTCTATTTCAAGATCTAAGGAGCAACGTGAGCGGACGGCCAACGACAAGCTGTCGAGACTAGACGAAAAGATGGACAAGGTGGTGGACTGGGCCAAGTGCGGCTATGTCGACTTCAGTTGCTGGGCGAAATAAACTTCAACCCTCAGAGCAGACTTAGACATTCATTTTGGCAGCCCAAGAATCCTGCGACCGCAGGCAAGTTTGACTTCACTCCAGTGCTTGATGAGCGTCTTGGAAGAAGCTGCCGCGCTTCGCACGTGGGATGTGTCTCGCCCGGAACCTCGCCGAGGATTCGCAGCAGTGAGATGCTGCACGCCGAGAGCTCCCGGATGCTCTCACAGCGCCTAGACGAGAGCCTCGTGCTGATCAGCCACTTAGACCTGGAGAGTCCGTTCTGGCATGCGAAGTTCGGGGGGTGCCGCCGCCACGAAGGCAACACCCTGGAGAAGTTATCAAGCCAATCGGAAGAGAAGGCCATCCGACTCCGAATGGTGTGCCCGTCCGCTGGCCTCGCTTGTGCTTGTATGCCTGCAGGACAACAAGCTCGCGAAACTCGGCGACAGAGTCCAAGCCTCTGAAGAGATTCTTCTGCAGGCCCGACGGCCAGAGCACGGCCTGAGCTTCGAGTTCGCCCGGGGGTGTCCTAGTTGTCCCTGTCCTTGCCCGTCCCTGCAGGTGTCCGAAACCTTGCAATCCAGCTCCAAAGACCTTGCTGAGAAGGTAGGGCAATTTCAGGAGCAGGCTGGGACAAAGAACCAGGAGCTCCTTGGAAGGTTAGAAAGACCCGACTCCAGAAGTCCGCAGGAGTTCGCAATATCGGCATCGGTGCGCGATGATAAGGTTTGCTTCTGAACTGGGCTTCGTAGCCGAGCGCTTGCGCAAGCCTCTGCCAATCGACGACAAGGCCGAACCACACAAGGGGTCTTCGTTGTACAGTTTGCCTCTTGAGACGTAAGCTGGTGACGCGGGGCAAGGGGTGGCGATCTGTTCCATATGGAGGGGCAGGGGCTATGGGGCTGCAAGTCGAGCTCGTTTGCACGGATGCCCACGCGGGAGCCAGGCGCTGCTGGAGCAGGTAGAGAAGCTCGCAGAGGCACAGAAGAAGACAAAAGTTTACTGCGGTTTATATTGTACATACCGGTGACTCAGAGCGGGATGTGGAGCCAACCGGGTGGTGTAGACCAAGGCACAGGCCGCGGATACGAACACGATGCTGGGCGAGCCGCACGGCAGCAGCGGTCGGTTCTCGACGCAGCCGATAGCGTGCAGCAGCATAGAATCCAGTGCCATACTTCTGCAAGCCGCACTATGCGCAAGAGGGTTTTATAGCACTCCGAGCAGACTGCAGTCTCGTTTGCTTGCTCTGGAAGCAAGACCTGCAACAACCTAGTTTCATGCCCTTCATTCAGGATTGGGAAGATCCAACAGGCAATGAACCTGGACTTCGTGAAAACGGTGCAGGTCCGTTGCCGACGGAGGTGGGAGCACTACCATCGACAGCTGCCTGTCAGGGAAATGGCGAAGACTGGACGACATCGTTCCCGGCAGTGGCCGTTGCGATGGATTCAACCATGCATTCCATGAGCCCAGAAATGCTTGGACTGAAGCTCGCCCTCATGCGCACTGTATGCATCAGGTTTTGCAGTGCGAACACCGATCCGTGCAGTGCCGAGGAAAGGTGGTGGCAAAGGCGCACCGGAAAAGCAGGAGAAGAAGCGTGTGCGGGTGCGAGAATCTCGGAGAAGATTGGCAGATGCAGAGTTTCGCTGCGTTGCAGGGATCAACTGTCTGAGTCTTGATAGATGTCCACTGACACACTGACTCTGAGGAGTTCTTTTCGCAGACCGATACGGTGGAGACACAGATAGTCGGGGTGCAAACTGCGTCTTGCCTGCTTTGGTCATAAAGCACGTGCAGTACCAATTGTCTTATCCGTCCTCAGAATGCAGCGGTTGCAACTTGATTTTGAGGACCCGAAGATGCCAGAAGCTCAGGTACCACGCGAACCTAGGGAAACTATGTAAACCCTCGGGGCTGCCAATGCAGGAGCCACAAATCCCTTGTTTTTCTTCTCCACCGTCCACCGGCTACAATAAGGATGGATGTCAAGAAGAAGGTGGTTCTCAGGCCAAGCAAAACGGTGACTGGGCAGATACTCGAGGTGCCCCCTTGCCGCCATCGGATGTCAGATTTGGACCGATTCCTTTGTAAGGCGAAAGCCAACAAGATGCAGAAGGACATTACGGCCTCCAGGACTCGAGGCAACGCCGGACAAAGCATGATCTGTAGAGCACGGCAAGTGCCCAGATTGGGCAATCGTAGCACAGCCACCCGGTGGCCAAGCATGTGTATATGACAAGACCGGCTTCAGATCAATAACTTGCCGCAGTGGAAATCCTGAGCTGGTATCTCTCCTTCCGAAGTGACAGGGGTACGTGTAAGTTCCCGGCATAGGTTTGATCTAGCTTTACAATCTGTCGGCGTGAAGCTTGCAGTCTTTGCTTCGGAGGCTTCACCGATGCAGATGCCTTGAAGAAGAAAGCCAGGCCGCTGCGGATGTTCGGTCGAAACGCCTTTGGCACCCGTAAGACTGAAGCAGAAGCTCCCTCAATCTCCGTAGCCACTTCTATGAGTTTGCTGCTAAACTCCACGTTTGCTGCTGTTGTCGCCGCAGATTTGCATGCTTAACGCACAGTATACCTTCCTAAGATCGCATGCAGCCGCATTTGAGCGCTGTCTTCACGAGTGCTCATGTTGAACTCGGCATACGACGCGGTATCTGCACTTCCGGAACCTCTGTTGGCAGCCGTAAGGTCCAGCTGTATCTCATTTACTCGGCCGACAGTGTAAGTGAAAGGAAACACATTCGGCACCGATCGCGCTGATCGACGGTTGAATGGCACGCGCAAGCTGGCAAACAAGACTTGTCTTCATCGAATACCGCACTATAACGTCTACGAGTTCTGTCCGTTCAGGGGACTTGATCAGACATACGATCCGTATCCGAAACCCACTGATGGCAACAGACACCTCAAGCTCTTGAGCACATGTGTAGCTTTGTAACATCCAGTGACAGACACAGTCTTTCTGCACGCAGAAGACCATGCTGACCACGTAAGCCATGATCATCGGCACGTGGCCGTTTACGATCGTAACGCGGAGCGCGAAAGATAGGCGGGCAGAGCCGCGAAAGATGCCACATGCTGCTTGGACGAACATGTCCGGGTGCCAGTTCGGCCCAACTGTCAGATCCGACTCGTGACTGAAAAGAATGCTACATGCGAATTGCCATGTTGCAGTTTTCATAAGCAGCAACCAGTGACGTATCTGGTTGCTACCCGGAAACGCGGCAGGGTCCTTTCCTCTAAACCAGCGGACCATGCTCTTCTCTTCTGCTTGGCACATCCAACAGTTGGTGACCAGAGGCGCACGTTTTGGTGGGCCTCCGTAAGCTTGAATCGAAAGGCAAGCCTTGATGAAGCCGCCGTACAATGTCATGGACTACTATCGTGAGACTGGCATCTTCCAGAGGACTCTGTCAGTTTGGATTTGAACCATGTCTTGTGCCGACTGCGTTGGAACATGTTGGAATTCAGTAAGATGTATGTGAGTTGCAATGTCTAAGTTCACATCTAGTACGTGCTCAGTGCTGCGTTCTCTGTGTTTGTCTGCCTGTCTCTATGTATGCACGTATGCATGTATGTATGTATGTACGTACGTAAATACATACGTAGTATGTACGATGTAAGTCTGCATGTGCGCAGGCATGCATATATGTTCCCTGCAAGCACGGGTAATTTGATGTGTATGGATGCTTGCACTTTCATTTGTACTAAGAGTTGTTCTGGAAGATGTTTCTGTGTACACAGTACCGACCAAAGTTGAAACACGGACCTCGTTGGATCTGGAGGATCGCACGAAGCACAGCCTTCGACTGGCTCAGCCTCTTTATGGTCGCTTGCTTGCAGTAGTCAGAATACTGTGTTCTGCCAAAATGGATAAACGGTCATTTTAGCAAAGAGAAGCGTCTGTTGCACCGACTTGACACGAGGTTATCCTGAATGCTGGGTGGATCGCTGTGGATGCCGACCTCAACAGCGCAGCCGTTATCACCAATGCCAGCCCACCGTTTATTCTCGTTTTCTCAGCTGCAGATTCGCTGATAAGAAAAACAAGCTTAGGGCTTGGGGTTCTTAGTTTGCTGTGACACTCGTATATTAATGCCCCTGGCGATCCATGAACTGCGCATCCGAGGTTGAAAACCTCTTCTGCACATACTTTTTTGGTGAAGTCTTCATCCGCTTCATGGCTTTCGCCGAGAAGTGGCGGTGTTTGCGTGACGGTTGCTCGGTGTAGTAGTGTAGCATGGAGGGTTTGGTCTTGTCATCTGTCTGTGTAAACGGCGGAGGCTGGTTCATCTTTGACTCGCTGCTGGTGTTTACCATGGTCATCGAAACGTGGATAATGCCGATCATTGTGCTGGGGTTCAACATTGACTTGGCAAATGCTCTGGACTTCTCTGATTTGCATTTTTCCTTGCCGCTCCTGGTATCTCCTGAGTGGGGCCAGTTACCCGGTAGAAGCGATGCTCACAAGGTCGGCCAGGGGCTCGGGGCAGAAGTTGCTTGCTGATGGCAGGACCTCTCAACCCTGCGCATGTTCCGAATGGTGAAGCTGCTGCGGCTCTCGCGCATGGCCAAGCTGCTCCGCGCAGTGCCTGAGCACCTCGGCGGGCGTGTTGTGACGCAGTGCTATACCGATCTGCAACCGGATCGATTATCCTGTTGGCCTCGGGTCCCGTGCAGGCTGACGATCATTATGAAGGGCATCAGGCTTGCTACCAGGTCAGTGTGCCTCAGCTGATCTGAGCGAGCGGTCGCTTGCGCTTAACAGGCAGAGTCTGTCTGTCATGTCCTCAACCGAGTGTCGTGTTCTTCGCTCTCTGGATGATGATCATCTACGTCTTCGCTCTGGTGCTCCGGCAACTCACTGAGGGCCAATCAGTGGGGAGCCAGCCGCATGTCTGCAGACTGCCTGACTCCTCAGGAAGGCGAGGATGGACGATGTACACGGAACATGTCACCATCGCCTCACTACAAGGTACTTCGCAAACGTCCCGCAGTCTGTCAACAACTTGCTGCTTTACGGAATCCTTCCCGAACAACGCGAAATCGTCACCACGCTGGGCCTCTTGCCTGGAAAGCATCAGGTTGGGCATCGCTCTTGTTGATGGCACCACGTGCATGCCGCAAGGAAACGCAGGTGCCTGGATGTGGCCTCTGATCCTGTGCTTCTTTCTCCTCTGCTCTATCACGATCATGTGCCCGGACTCACTCATTGATACTGCCGGCCCGTGATGTGCAACTGACTTTTCTTGAGGTACATGCTCGTGGGCGTCTTGGTGGATGTGATCCGCGTCATATCGACTACTGAGAAAGAAGGCACGACAAAAGCAAAGGTGGCTCGTTGCCAAGCCTTGGCCGGGATAATGCCAGTCCGTGATATGGGGCAGGCCTGACAGTGGCCTACCTGGCCAGTGAGCTTCGAGATAAGATGGACGCTCTCAATTACAATCCTGCAGCTCGGCTTTGATGGAGCGTCAGGGCAAGTCACACAGCATGGCGAAAGGCAAGCCGGCGAATTAAGGAAGAACCTCTGACACAGTTCGAATTCCAAAAGCTCCTGCTGGAGCCAGACATTGCCGTGATCCTATCAGGCAGGCACTGCAGGCTCAAGAGTATCAGATTTTCAGCTGGTATGCCGCAGGAGAGGGCGTGGATGTCATCGCTCTGGTCGACAGCTTGGACATGATCTATGAGGCTTTTGGGGCTTGTGTGGGCCAGGCGTAGCAGTTAGCATCATGGCGCATGTTGCAGGACCTTTCCAAAAACGGCAAGGACGGCCTCGACTTTGCTGCAGCTCTTGAGCTGCTGCTGAACATGAGAGGGGGCAATGCTGCCACCGTTCCCCACCGGCAGACTGCAAAGGGCGAAGCTAGGGCGAAGCTTGTTTTTGGCGCTTTCAAGCCCCGTGAATTATTGTCCGCATCCGGTGTCCAGGTGAAGGATGTGAAGGAACAGCTCCGCCTCACCAAGTCCCTTGTGAAGTCAACGCAGTGGCCGCTTGTTCAGAAGTTGGCGCGAGTCTGCACATGTCATGCCGAGTCGACAAGCCAAGGACCCTGATGGAAAAAATGACCACAGAGCTCCGTCCTCAGGTCAAGCAAAGCATTGTTGAGCTTCTTGTCACCCTTGAAGAGGTTCGCCAACGTCCTGGCCCAGTTGAGGGAACTCCGTGAGGAGGCGCTCCAGAGAGATGGTCGCGAAGCCGAGGAAGACGCGGAATTCGAGGAGGCAGGGCGCCAAATCCACCAGCAGCTCGTTTCTGCCAGTTCCTTTTCGGCAGCATTGTCAGGTTGCGGAGTCCCTGATGCCAAAATCGGTGCGGGAGTAACTGCAGCAGATTCCTCCGCAAGCGGGTGGCTGCAACACGCAGTGCCTGCTAGGTGCTCGGATAGCTGTAGGTTGCAAAAAGTCCTACCAGAGCAGTGTTTGTGCCGACCGGGCCGAACTTGGGCGCACAAACGGGGGCAAATCATCTGCCTCAACGAGCTGCTCTTTTCGTGCAGGCTCTGAAATGGAGCTTCTAAGGGGTGGATGCAGCTGCACAGGCCCTGATGGCGTCAGCACCTAGCTTTCGGAAGCCAGGGGACAGCAGGAGATCCCGTGTTTGTCCCCACACAATCCAAGCGCTCTCAAAGCAAGGATCCTGACTGTACCCGGCACGGTGCTGCTTCTCCGCGACATGTAGCACATGTAGTGGTCCACGTCTCACAGGCTGCTGGCATGCAGCCAAGCTGATGTCACAGCTCGAAGTGGTTGCTGGCATCTGCTATGCACCACTTTTTGGATGATGTCGATGCCACTTCTCAGCAGAGACTGTTCTGCTTCAATGCGAAAGGGACAAGCTGACGGCCTTGCATGTCTCCGTTGGCGCAGTAGAGTTCACAGCTTCGCTTGGAGACGCCTGCACCAAAAGGCAGCACTGTGGCTCGAGAGGGGGAAAGTCGCTTCCAAGAAGCCCCGGGCCAGCTTGCAGAGGCCGGTTTGCCAGCTGCGAAGCTGCGGAGATGTGCTGCCACCGTTTCCCATCCAGTCAGCAGGCGTAAATGATCGCCGTCCGCAGTCTTCTTCGATGAGGTTGCTGCAGGCTCCCCGGCTCTCCTGTGTCACAAGCACAGTGGAGCGCAACCAAAAGTCAGGGTAAAGACCTCGGCCGACCACGCACAAGTGAAACCCTGAAACTCTGCTCCTGTTCCCCCTTTCGGTGCTAACCAGCAATTCCCCATCTCAGGGTCCTCGACCACCTCGCGCTATGGTGACACCAAACCGACTGAACAAATGGATTAAAGAGCCAAACAGGACGCACGATCCTCATAGATTCATAGCGTCCCTACTGTAGCCGATTGCAATGGGGTGTCAGGGATCATGAGGGCGTGTGGCCCCAAGTTTGCGAGGCCAAGACGGAGCGGAGCTGCCAGACGCGGAGTTCTACGACCAGGAGAGGGAGCGAAGGGAGCTGAGAGGAGGGCTCTGTGTGTTTCTTGGAAGGAGCGAGCCGGTGCTGCGCCCAAGGGCGCGCTCGCTGCCTGGGATCGCAGACAGATCGACGTCTTGGCTCGATGCCTCCGGCTGGCACCACCTCTCCTTCCCGACGCCCTACGCACGAGACGTGCGGACTCGGTACAAAGTGCCACAGCCAGACTTGTTACGGAGATGTGCAGCCACAAGCATACCAACCTTTGAGGGTCAGAGTCTGCACAGCTCTGCACCGAGGTACTGCCGCGGTTGTTGGCCAAACTGGTGGGACCTTTGGCGTGGGACGAGGCTCCTCGGACACCGCGGGCACTGCGGGAAACCACAGTGGACTTCGGTGAGCGCTTGAGCCACCCAAAGCAGAGTCTCAAAGTGAACCCATTGAGTGCGACAAGGCCAAGGCTGAGCACTACCACACGCATCCTCTCCTCTTCGACCGATTCGGTAAAGGGCCCGTCCTTCTCCTTGGCCACTGTCCACTTCGAGAGGCCGCCACCGAGCCCTGCAAGCCCTGCAAGCGTAAGCCCGGGCGCCACGCCGGCCAAGCCCAGCACAGCCCCCGCGCGCGTCGTCTCCTTGGAACGCCTCAAGGCACTGGCGGAGCCGAAACGGCGCAGGAGCAAGTTCGTACGCGCCAAGAGCTTTGTAGGACCCGTCGCCAAGAGCAAGAGCCCGAAACCGCTCAGACTCCCTGAGACGGGTGTGACCGACGCTCGGAGACCGACTTCTCGAAGGGAGCCAAGGGAGCCGGGAAGCGAATCAGGCGAAGCACGGCCAAAACCCAAAGGCAAAGAAGAGACCAACGGAGCAACAGAGGAGGGCGACTCACTACAGTCCATCGAGAAAACCGAGGCAACGGAGGCGTCTCGCCAGCACTTATGGTCTTATGGTCTAGACTGCAGACACAGGCTGCCGAGAATGATGTGGCCAGGTGCATGGGAACAGCGTGCCAGGGACTTGCTTTTTGCCGCGCTGGCTGAGTTCATCAGCCGCACCCGTTGATAGTCCATGTCCTAGGACCTTCAGCAAGACTGTGTGGATCCCAGCATGAGAGACAAGCTAGCTGGGGCTCCAGCATCCCGCCATGTGCCAACTACGTTGCGCATGAGGAGAAATCTGAGCGCAGCTTTGATGCCTCTCCCGCGAAGCTTGGTGGCAGAACAGGCTCTGAACACGTTCCTCAGAAAGGCTGTGCAAAGCTCAGGAGCCATGCTAGAACGGCGCCGGCCCGAGTTGTCGCAACACGGGGTCGAGAGAGAAACCTGCCTGTGCTGATGCATCTGTCTTGCCTTGCACGTCTGGATCGACTGCATCAGAGGAGAAATCCGAATATGCGTTCTCGGAGGTATCGCCAATGCCGCTTGGCTGCAGGCTTTGTGAAGTGGCTTCTAGCGTGGTTGTTTGCTACCGTAGCTGCCACGGTGCAGCTACTTAGGAGCAACAGCAGAACAGTGGTGAGCCCAGTCCGTCCCGAGCCATCTCTCGTACCCTGTGCTGCTTGCTCCTCGCAGGAGAGATCCGAGTACGAGTTCGAGGAAGTGTCTCCAGCGCGCCTAGGCTGTACAGTTCCAACTTCCGAGTTCTTCGCAGCATTAACTTTTCGTTTGGTGAGGAGCCACGGCAAATCGGCACCGAGCTTGGCCTTCTGGGTCGTGGGAAAGAACAATTCGTTGATGACCAGCGATTCTTGGGTGGCTCTGTCCTGAATAGGTCCATGGGAACAGCGTGCCAGGGACTTTCTTTTTGCCTGGCTGTGTTCATCAGCCGCACCCGTTGATAGTCCATGTCCTAGGACCTTCAGCAAGACTGTGTGGATCTCAGCATGACAGACAAGCTAGATGGGGCTCCAGCATCCCGCCATGTGCCAACCACGTTGTGCATGAGGAGAAATCTGAGCGCAGCTTTGATGCCTCTCCCGCGAAGCTTGGTGGTAGAACAGGCTCTGAACACGTTCCTCAGAAAGGTTGTGCAAAGCTCAGGAGCCATGCTAGAACGGCGCCGGCCTGAGTTGCCGCAACACGGGTCGAGAGAGAAACCTGCCTGTGCTGATGCATCTGTCTTGCCTTGCACGTCTGGATCGACTGCATCAGAGGAGAAATCCGAATATGCGTTCTCGGAGGTATCGCCAATGCCGCTTGGCTGCAGGCTTTGTGAAGTGGCTTCTAGCGTGGTTGTTTGCTACCGTAGCTGCCACGGTGCAGCTACTTAGGAGCAACAGCAGAACAGCGGTGAGCCCAGTCCGTCCCGAGCCATCTCTCGTACCCTTTGCTGCTTGCTCCTCGCAGGAGAGATCCGAGTACGAGTTCGAGGAAGTGTCTCCAGCGCGCCTAGGCTGTACAGTTCCAACTTCCGAGTTCTTCGCAGCATTAACTTTTCGTTTGGTGAGGAGCCACGGCAAATCGGCACCGAGCTTGGCCTTCTGGGTCGTGGGAAAGAACGATTCGTTGATGACCAGCGATTCTTGGGTGGCTCTGTCCTGATTAGGTCCATGGGAACAGCGTGCCAGGGACTTTCTTTTTGCCTGGCTGTGTTCATCAGCCGCACCCGTTGATAGTCCATGTCCTAGGACCTTCAGCAAGACTGTGTGGATCTCAGCATGACAGACAAGCTAGCTGGGGCTCCAGCATCCCGCCATGTGCCAACCACGTTGTGCATGAGGAGAAATCTGAGCGCAGCTTTGATGCCTCTCCCGCGAAGCTTGGTGGCAGAACAGGCTCTGAACACGTTCCTCAGAAAGGCTGTGCAAAGCTCAGGAGCCATGCTAGAACGGCGCCGGCCCGAGTTGTCGCAACACGGGGTCGAGAGAGAAACCTGCCTGTGCTGATGCATCTGTCTTGCCTTGCACGTCTGGATCGACTGCATCAGAGGAGAAATCCGAATATGCGTTCTCGGAGGTATCGCCAATGCCGCTTGGCTGCAGGCTTTGTGAAGTGGCTTCTAGCGTGGTTGTTTGCTACCGTAGCTGCCACGGTGCAGCTACTTAGGAGCAACAGCAGAACAGTGGTGAGCCCAGTCCGTCCCGAGCCATCTCTCGTACCCTGTGCTGCTTGCTCCTCGCAGGAGAGATCCGAGTACGAGTTCGAGGAAGTGTCTCCAGCGCGCCTAGGCTGTACAGTTCCAACTTCCGAGTTCTTCGCAGCATTAACTTTTCGTTTGGTGAGGAGCCACGGCAAATCGGCACCGAGCTTGGCCTTCTGGGCCGTGGGAAAGAACGACCGATTCATTCGATGGGTGCTGCTACCTTTAGCTACCGGCAGCGTTGAGGAGACATCGAAGCATGGCTTTGAGGACACGTCACCCACGAGCCTTGGCTACGGCTTTGCGTGTTAGTCGTTTCAATCAGCAGAGGCTCACGGCAAAAGTGTTCACCAGCTCAGGAGCAACAGCCGGACGGTGCAAAGCCCAGTCGAAAGAGAGGGCAGTGGCACGGCCTGCACGGGACCTCCGTGCTTGAAGCAGAGCCATGTGAGGCAAAGTCCGGAGCAGACTCTCCTGTGACCCTCTGCTCTTCAAGTGGTCTGAGTTTGAATCCAGTGCTTTCCCCTGCACGAGTTCTGTCTGCTGAAAGCACGTGCACACAAGGAGCAATGTCAAGACTGCAGCGACCTCGGAAAGTATCAGTCAAGACGGAGCTGAAGACAACTTTTGCGAGTTTGAGCTTGTCTCCCCAGGAGAAGTCTGAGAATGGCTCTCCTTCGAAACTAGACTGCAGTGAGAACGCTGAGCCTGCTGTCCCTTCGCTGCACCCGTTGATGCATCAAGGAGCTATGTCAAGACTGCGCGGGTCTTAGTACCGGGCAGACTTCGAAGTTCCCATGCTTCTTTGACATTGGCTCGCAGCTGCGCCCAGGAGAAGTCTGAAAGTTTCGGATCATCTCCAGCGAGACTTTGACTGCATACGTGGTGGGTCGCATTGGCCACGGTTTGGAGTTTAGGGTTTAGGGCTGTCGGATGTTATGCCGGCATGTTGCTCCGGCCTGTGCTGAGTTGAGAAGTAGACCGTAGACCGTCAACACCGACTTGATCGCTTGATCGGGCCCTATTCCCTGACATCAATCTATAGGTGCGCTGATGTTCCCGCTCCACACCTTGGGAGACATGCGGCGGTACACAAGCAGATAGAGGGTTCAGACTTGCCGGAGTCCCCGGATTGAAGCAGACCTCTGCCATCTGCTTTGCCTGGCGAAGTTGGAAGGTGTGACCGGCATACAGTAACGGTATGGCAACTCGAAGCTGCAAAGGAGTGGAGATGTTTCAATCCCTTGTATATAGGTGGCAGAAGCGCAGGTTCAAACGCTGTGTCCCAGTCTCAAGAGACGACGTGGAGAGGGTCTGTTTGGCGCTCTTGCAGAAACTGGGTAGGTTGAGTTTGCATTCATGTGCGACAAATCCAAGATCTGCACGACGAATACTGACATCCAAACGAAAGGGAGCTGCTTCTGGCATGTGTGAAGTGCTCGGAAGCCTGAAACAGTCTGCAAACCTTGAATCCAATCCGCAGCCTGAAACGCTTTCGAAAGCGTTGTTGCATGTAGCCGTAGCCCTTGTGCAGTGTCTTCGTCTTGAAGAGCTGGAGGACTATTGTAATGAGAGACGATTGAAGAAACGACACTCGTAGATGTTAACCAACATGACCGGTCGAGGCGGCGACTATCGTTGCCAAGGAGGCGTGTCCGAACCCAAAACAACTCCACAGGAATCCGGCTGGTCCGCTTTACACCTCCTTAGCATAAGCACAAAAGTGCATTACAGCAGAAAACTCCGGTTCCAAGCACGCACGTTTCGAAGGCGCAGCGCCCAAAGTCGTTGCGTAGTGAGGCGTCGTGCCGAAGCAACATAGCGCCCCTCGACAGCTGCGAGAACGGCGGCTTATGCACTCGGCCAGGTTTGTATGCCCCGTCTGAACATGTCTGAACCGCACAACGTGACATGACCGTGACATGAGTTTGTGTGGTGGCTTCTCTCATCCGCGACGGCAGATTGCAATTGGTAGAGTGAAACACTGAGACAGTGAAGATTGTGAAAGCGAAAAAGATGATCTAACTGCCCTTCGCAAAGATGCCTAGTTGTGGACTTGAAATTCGATTCTGAACCACGCATCCCCACGCACCACTTGCACATACCACTCTGAGGCACCTGTTTTGGTAGAATTAGCGCCTGCGCATCATGACCCCCAGCCAAGGAGTCATGCTCGCACGGCAGAGCTCCCAGTTGCTGGACTGCCTTATAAAGTTCAACTTCGTTTCATTTCGGGCTGCCCAGGACAAGTCCTACAACACAAGCTTCGTACCGGAAGAGGAGTCTGACGCGCAAGACACCTCGCCATCGCGCCTCGACTGCCTCGGCTTCAAGAGAAACCTCTCGCTGTGTCACAGCATCCCTGGCTCCCAGGAACCACAACGGGTAGACCTCGATATCCTGAAAGGTCGAGGTCAGGTGGGCGAACGATAAGTATGTATGGAATAAGACGTGGTTCTTGAACACGGTATACGGTAATATGACAGTACATAAAATTGTCTTGCATTCCAGTGACTTCATTAAAGCATATTATTACCTTATTGTATGGTGGCTTATGCCACTCTACAAGTTTACATTCGGTCATGCGGCATGTTGTGCCATGTGCTATCATATATAAGTATAGAAGCACCTGCATGTAACTGGCACAAGGCCAGGCTTGCCTTAGGGCTATGCCAAGACGGCAAAAGCCGACTGAGGCCAAGGGTCGGGCGCCCGAAAGCCCCAAAGCATGTTCATCTTGGTATTTGATAATTTGCTTTGATAAGCCGATATATGTAATAGTTAGTGCATTCATGTAGCATATGATATGTTGTAGCTCTGCGGCGGCAAGCCTTGAAGGAACCGCCCTGCAAGGATATGCAAAGCTGGGTTGGCAAATGCCACGGCTCCAGAAGAAAGATGTCTTTGGGCAGCGTGACGGTTTGACATGGACATCTCTTTGCGGTCATGTTCAGCGTTTGAGTTTGTGTACGTCTGCCATTGGGCTTTCTGGCCCGCAGCTTCCCCCTGCTCCGTCTGGGACCCGTGGTGCCCAGGCCTCGGATGGGGACGGGTGTTGCCTGCTGTGCATTCTGGAATGCCTTCTTGGTCACTTCAAGAAGTCATGTATAGGAGATTAGACAGATTTAGAGCTTTTCCATGTCGCCATGGGCCGTTCTTTGCTCGTGGCTTCGATGGCCTTTGCCTTGCTGGGCAGCTGCTGGATGATGGTGGTCCTTGCCTGGCAGTACCCATGGCTGCTGCATTTGCTCTTCTTCGTCGCGTCGACTCTCAGCTTCTTTGCGTTGGCAGCTGCATGTCTGCTGCTCTACTTCATCCAGATGGCTTATGAGTCTGACGACGGTGCGCTGCAGCTTCTGCCTCAAACGGTAGGCAAGCTGCTGAATGATTCTCCCTTTGAGATTGTGGAGAAACTTAGCAGAGCAATCATGCGACCACTGTATGACTGGATTCGAGTACTCTTGCTAGTAAATCTGGAGCTCGATGAGGACACCAGAAAAGAGATTCTCGAAGAAATGAGCCCCGAGTTCCGGCGCCGCATCTTCCAGTATTCAGTGGGGCAGCTCCTGCCCAAGAGACTTCAGCGATTCATCTTAGGTCGAAACTACAACCAGGCCCGAACACCTGAAAACATGCAGGATTTGTTCGAGGCCACAAATGTGCCGCAGAGTTACAAAGGCGAGATTCGAGTGCGTGGGAAGAGTTTGAGTCGCTCGCAGTCACTCAACGACCTCTTGGCATTTCTAAAAACGGTGGACAATTCACAGGCCTCCTTGAAGCAATCATCAGTCATCGAGAAGATTTTGGCGAGCAAGGTGGCCGACGGAGCCATTTGGACAATGTCACAAGGAGCTGTCCATCAGTACGAGAGCCATCTGAGTGGCAGAGTTCGTACTTTCCTAGAAAACGTCAGCAAGAAGCCAGAGAACCGTCTCCTGCGAGCATCTTGGCCAGGTGAGTTAGCCGTAGGTCCAACCCACATCAGGTTGTTGCCCCGGGATTTTGGGGGCAAAAAAAAAACCGAGGAGTAGTTCTGAAGGGGGGTCCCCTTCCCAGGTTCCCTGGGCCGTGGTGAACTGGGAGCTGACTGCCGCCCGCACGGTTCTGAGAAGCATGGTCTCTCTCTTCCGTGAGTCGGAGACGGAGGAATCGCCTGAGACTTGCAAGAAAGACTCCTGATGCCCAGCTGACTCGGCAACAGCTACAGCAGTTGGAGCCTATCTCTTCCAACCTCCCAGTCTCCCTGCACCGTCTCACCCGAAGTTAGCTGCACTGACACAGCACAGTGCGCAATCGACTATCGGCTGTGTTGTGAACTTTTGCTTGGACCTTGCTCCGCAGCCCTCGAAAAACATGTGCAATGATGTCTCTCACCAACCGGCGCTGCGGTTCTGAAGTCCTGGAAGTCTTGACTTTTTTTGCTTGCCCGAGGCAGTGTCGCCGTTGCAGTGATGGCCTGCGGATCTTTCATGTACTCGTCCATGTGCAAGCAATACCTGCTGCAACTTTGCTCACGGAGCCAAAAGAAGCTATGCCAGCTTGCTTGGCAGATGTGTAGGGACTCTGCAAGTAAATCATGCCTGACTCTGAGACTTTCCCGGCAGTGCCACCACTACAATTCTACGGGCTATCATTGGCTCAAAGATTCCTGGAAGCATTCTTGGTGGAATCCTGCTCAAGTCCAAGGGCACAGGCTTCGGAAGACCCTTGGCCTGCAACTTGCTACAGAACAGTTTGGGCGTACAGTCTGAATTTGCTGCAGCTGTCACGGCTGTCTGGTTCGGGTGGCGTGCGTGGCGCACAATGTCCGCCCCAGGCTCCACGGCTCCACAACTGGCTTACGACGCTTAGCAGACGCAGCGCAATTGCTGCTTCTGTTGATCTGGCGTGAGGCCCGGTGGGGCTCAAACTTGTCGTGCTGAGCCTGCGGCGAGTTCCGTGCGCGTGACAGAGGCGGCTGAAGCAGAAAAACAATCTACTTCCAGCCGTAGCTCGGAATGGAGCCGCTGAAGGCACCAGGATTCTCGGACGAGGACAGATTTGCCCTGGAAGGGCCGGGCCGCCAGGGTGTAGCTCTGTAACTCCTGTGTGCAGGAGAGTTTTGTGCTCTGCGACGCCGCGACCAAGGGATTCCCGATTCTACATGCTAGCCTTGGATTTCAGAAGTTGTATGGCTTTAGCCAAGAAGAGTGTTTCGACAGCTCGTGCGGGGCACTGGTCGGAGCTGATGGCATCTTGAAGGATCCATTGGCTGTTACAGCAGCGGAACGACAGATTGGAAGCCCGCAAGCTGGACTGGCTACGGGCTTCGCAGTCATGCACGACGTAATGGTCGATTTCGTCGATGACGTGGTGCACCAGCGAGATACAGACTTCCCTGCCGTTCTGACAGTTAACCGCAGAAGCAACGGCCAGCTGTTCACTTGCAACGTGGCATGCAGTCAAATCTCTCACGGACTGCTTCAACGCTCTGCTCCTCCTGCTGCTGCTACTACCACTACCACCACCACCACCACCCCCAGCACTACCCCATTACCGCTGCCGCAACAACCCACTGCCGCTGCCAACCCGCCACTGCCACTGCTACTGCTACTGCTACTGCTACTGCTACTGCTGCGACGACTGCGACGACGACTGATGCTGCTGCTTGACTAGTGTTGGAGGATCTTCGTTTTGGGCTCCTCACAAGTTTGTTTGACCATACCAAACATCACTGGAGGCATTGTTGTTTCTTGCTGTTCTCATGTGTTGTTAGAGCATTGGCTGATAGCAGCCATGTCCTTGGTTTTCGTAGTATGCCTTGGGAGCCGGGAGGTCAGTCCGGGTCGCTAGATGGGCATCCCAGGTCAGATGAGCCTCATGCGAAAGCATCATCCAGAACTTGGCTGGTCTTACATGGTGGGCTTGCAGCAGGACCGTGCAAAGAAGCCATCGTGATAGGTAGCAGAACAAGAGAGCACGTGAAGCGGCGTCGCAGCTGCAATTTCAGCCACAAAATGGGTGTATGCACTGGCACGAAGTACCACAACTCCACAGCACTGCGTGTGAGCACAGCAGAAAAAGCAATATACATACATATACGTACATACAAGCATATAACATACATACATACATGCATGCATGCACGGATGTATGTATGTATGTATGTATGTATGTATGTATGTATGTATGTAGTATAGATATACGCACATGGTCACACGCACACACACACATATATAAATAAAAAATGAATAAATAAATAAATATATATACATATGTATATGTGATACTCGAGTGCATACATACATACTTGCATACATACATGCCTCGACGCATACGTCATGGCACACTGCGTCTCCGGGACACGGGACAAGGCACGCCAGCACAGAACTGAGTCACAAGCATTCTGTTTCATGCATTCTCGTACTGTCTGGAATCCCTGTGACATTCGAGGTCATGTTGCCATGGGGTTCTCACCTAGGCTACGTTGCCCTCTTGCAAGTAGGTTAACGGACATGTGCGAGAGCATGTCCTCTTTCATGCGTGAGCTTGCCTGAGGATGTCTCTAGCCAGATCCCTGTGCGTGAGCTGCCCGAAACTCGGTGGGAGCACAAACGCCACGACATGGAAGGAACTGCAAAGCGCGGTCAATGCGACATAGTGCGACTACCTCTCCAAATCGCTCTGCAGAACTCACACTGATTTCATGTCGGTTTCTCAGGTTGAAGGCAGCTACGCAGGGGCACGATGGCTACAAGGCTCTCTGCGGCAGCCAAGCGCGACGCAGCAAGCTCGCTGAGCGCTTGCGGACGAAGGAAGCTGAATCTCACTTCCATAGCATCATGCCGCTCAGAGAAAAGACCTTTAGATCCCTTCGGCCACGGTAGCACGGGAGCAGCGCCGGATGGGCGATGCGCACTTCCGACATCTTCTGTCCAGCTGTTTGTGCTGTCGTACATGACGAACTGCCGAAGACCTTTAGCATTTCCTGAGGCGAGATGCTTGGCGTTCTGCGCTGTCGCGACAGATGAGTGACACGTGCGGCAAGAAGATGCAGAAGTCGCGCTCGATGGAGGAGCGGACAATCGCGAGCCGCTTGGATGCATGTCGCTACATCGTCTGCTACTTGTATGGCACTGTTGTACCCACTCTTGCTTGATGGCGCCGAGGTGTGAGTACGGCATGCTCTCTTTCAAGCGTCTTGCCAAAGAAGGAGAACAAGGATGACGAGCTGGTGGTGGATGATTTCCAGCGCAGCTCCACTTGGAGTCCAGATGCTTGCCTGTGACTTTGGCTGTTCGCTGTGTGTCCAGCTTGGTCTCAGTGGAAGGCTTGCCAGTAGTCGCCCAGTGTCAGGTCAAGACATGTCAGGCAGGCAACGCCTTTTGACGTGACCTGTGAATGATCTCAGGATGCCTGCTTTCATTTGGGCCTCTTGTCGCATCTGAGAGTGCCGGTTGCTGTTTTGGAAGCACATGCAGATCTAGCTAGTGCTGGCTAGTTGTCAGACCGTTTTCTGAGCTCAGCACTGAGCGAAACAGCCAACAGCGAAGTAACGAGCCGCAGTGAATCTTCAGGTGCCATCGCCAAGTCGAGCCTGGTCTTCCTTGGCTCTTTGTAAGATGGCCTTTCCTCACTTAGCATTGCACAGACTCCTCCGGCTTGCGCAGGGAGGCAGAGCAACTCTAAGGAGCACCATTCTCACGGAAGCGAATGCAAAAGACTCCGCTGAGGTGCGCTGATGCCGGCAAATCACACATCACATGGTACATCAGTAGACGTGTCTGTGTTTCGATTTATGTGCAATTTATCAGCCCCGAGTGGCCCTTGACTGCAGAGGCGCAGTTGAAGCATCAGACCAAACCGGTTGGATGACCCCCCCCTTGAATCGCCAATGCTGGCTTTGGGTTTGCAATGTGGGGGCCAAGCATCGCCGAATGTCCGATTGCTTCACAGAGCAGTAAACATGGGTGCGTGGTGCTTGTGGCAGTCATTCTTGTCACAGGCTCGAGGCTCTGCAGTGCAGCCAGGACTTAGACCATGGGAGCCATAGAATCAAAGGATAGGGTGGCATATGAACGAGGAAAGCAGCCGAAGGCTTGCACCGAAACTTGCATGAGTTGGAGCTTCCCAAGCTTGGGAAGCTCCTTTGGGAGAATCTGCCTTCGCAGCCTCCGGACGCTGTACAAGCACGGCGAAATTGTCGGCACAAGCCGTATGTATCTGCAAACGAATGTATATAATCATAAGCATCATGTACATCTCCTGTTCCCACCTGCCTGCTTGCATGTATCGCCGCTGTGCACAGGTTGCCAAGATGAGATTGAATAAATCATATAGCGATTATGAAACCTCCGTTCCGCAGGGAGAGCGCGACGGAGAGTCGGTTATTACCAGGTTCAAGCTGTTGTTTCGTAGCATGAAGCTGCACAGATGACAGAGTCAGCAAACAGTGCTGATTTCCGGTGGCCCAACAAAAAGAGCGGGATGAGACATAAGGCGCGGGGGTGGTTGTAGGGTACAGGGGTTCAGGGGGGTTTTGGCGGTTCAGACCAGTGCCTCATCGTGCCGTAGGTCCGTAGGTGCACGAACTTCAGAAGCGGTGCGCATTCGTGCGGGGGGGAGGGGGTGGCGTGCATGCCTCTCCTTGTCCGCATGCAAACAATTTAGTTATCACCCGTGTCCAGGGAGCCGTGCTTCTAAGCATGGCAGTTGCGATGCAGAGGGACTCACCACTTAAATGCACTCCTTGTTGTCCCGTGGCTGGCCTACCCTCGGAAACGCCCTCGGGTGAGTTATAGCCCAAGCGCCCAGAGCCGATTCCCGAGTGCCAGGGTGATGTACGTGCAGCGTTGCTTTCCCCGCATAATCTGCAGAAACAAAGCAAACGCCCGAAATCCGGTGCATTAAGGCACGTGCGCCTTGACCGTCCCCTGGCCCCTCTACCTACGAGGAGAAAAGGAGAGAGCAAGAGAGAGCAACACGCTTGCGCGATGATCGTATCCGTACGTAGCCAAGCGCCGAGCGCTGGCTACCATGGATTTGTTTTATGCAGCTGTGGCAAAGTACGGGACGCAAGTGAGGTCGGTGGAACTCGTTTCCTGGATCTCTTGGAGCCCTTCAGCGATGAGGATTTGGTTGCAGGCGTCAACCGGAAGTGCTGCGACAGTGCAGCACCAGCTGTGCCGTCAGGCGCTCCAGTTACAGCGCAGCAGGCTCATCCTACATTTCTGTAGTGTGGTCTAGGGGCCCAGCCATGCCCAGCACTTGCATGTGCCAGGCTCCAGCGCTGGAGTGCCCGGAGCTGGAGGAGTTAGAGGCCCCGCAGTCACATCCCAGAAGCTCGAGGGTTCGTATGCTGAACACGAGCCCTGTGCTGGAGGTTCCCATCTTCCTCGTCAGCCCGGCAGGAAGATGCCCAGTCGTTCTTTGCAGCTACTACTTTGCCAAAATGCTCGGCTGCTTCGGCCCGTTTCGGTCACGCAGAGTTGCAATTCCGTTGACATTGACAGGCAACTTACATGGAGCAAACTTAGAGAGCAAGGGGGAGTGATGGGTTGGTAGATGCAGATGCAGCATGGACGGTTCGAGGTCCGAGGAATGTTTTCTGACGCCAGCTTCGCCTTTTCTACTTTGGTAGTGCAATGAGGAATCATCAGACAGAATGATTCTCATTTCTCATCGCAGCAAGCCGAGGCTATGATTCCGCAGAGGTCCAGAACAGCAGCTTATGGTTGATTTTCAACCCCGGTGCAGACTTGGCAGATGAGGCAGGCGACCCTACAGACAACAATCGGAACATGTACTAGCCGAGGATCGCATCAAGGAAAACTATTTCTATGCTTTTCGCGACTGTTATTGGGCCTCCTCTTCTCATGAAGCTGCCGCTGGGGGAGCCGGTGCACGCCCTAGCCATCCCCAAAGGCTGTGCCTTGCCTAGGCCATCTTCCAGGCTGTGCCCAGGCCATGACCTACACTGTGCCTAGGCCATCCCTAATCCCCTAGGCTGTGCCGAGGCCATCCCCTAGGCTGAATTCAGAATCGCCTGACACTTGCTGGGGTGAATTTTTACAGTGCAGGTGCTTTACCCGCTGAATTCACGGGTGCGGCATTTTGACTTGATGCGCAAAACGATCCAACATCGCACTTCTAGCATCAACAAGCACGACAAAAGGTGGCAACATTGCCATACGAGGCACAGTTTTTTTGATCAAGAGGATGAGAATCCAGAGCAATTTTCTTCGTCGTTACAATCAAAACAAAAACCATCATCACCCTCGTGGTCGTCCTCACTAATGCAGCCCCTGACGTCATAGCACGACCGTTTCAACCCCGCACTCATCACCATCATCGCCATACCATCAGCATCACCAGCATCCACGTTCCCCACCTTCACCACATTCACCACCTTCACGACCTTCACCACCTTCACCACCTTCACCCTGATGACCTTCACCAACACCACCACCACCACCAGCACCACCACCACCACCACCACCACCACCACCACCACCACCACCACCACCACCACCATCATCACCTTCAGTCCTAGTTGGTCGGCATCAGCGTCATCATGATTGTCGTCGCCGCAGATGTTGCTGTGACGTTCGTGGCTGTCAATAGCCAGGCAGCACCCGTCGCCGCCTCTGCCATTTCAAAAAAAGCATTGGTTGGATCATTGCTCCCTTATATGGATCCCCGCCAGTCGTAAGGGTGGCGGCCACCGCCCATATCACAGCTCTCGGCTCTCGGCTAGCTCTCGGCAGGTCGAACAGGCCGATCTGCAGCAAGTTTTGGACGGCGACGAAGCCCAGGCCACCTCGATTCATGCACCGACGATGGCTAAAGCAGAATTCTTGCAGCTCTGCAAGCTGAAGGTGCAAGAATTCTGGGCAGCTGCTGAAGCGGGAGAGTTCTACAAGGATTTGGAAGCACGCCAGCAGCACCGCAAGACATTTTCCACGAAGAGCAGCTAGTGAGGAGCCGAAGGCATCAACATCGAACATGAAGTATGACCAAAAGCCCCAAGGACGCTGGGAAGGGTCTTGTCTTTCGTGCATCTCGAGCATCTTTGCCAGTAGTATGTGGTCTGTTTGTTCAACTCGCTGGGCTTGATGTCCTTGAGCATGCAAAAGGCAGTTCGTGATTCTGCAGTCATGGGTGTTTCTTGTTTTTCACTGCTCTGGCCGCGCCTCCAGGCGAACTCTTTGTTTCCGGCGACTTCCTTCAAAGGGGTGGCAGCAGTCTTCGCACTGCGGCCCCTAGGTGGCAGGTAGCGTGCTGATTGTCTTGATTTTCGTGTCGCTGCCTTGATACGGACGGAACGTGGTATCTTCTCGTCGTTGCAAAGGCACAGCAGCCTTAGAACAGCAAAGGTTTATTTGAAGCAGATTGAGCTGGATGACAAAATGCTGATTGCTGGAGTCGCCCACCCATTTCCGCGCATTAGTCAGTGGAAGGCCGGATTGGGGGCAGACCTGCTGCTGCAGTCGTGGTTCGTTTCTACTCGGCAACACTCTGGTTCACATGCTGGTCGGCACAGCAGTGTTGGGAAGCATGAGTTTTGCTGGTACTTGAAGTGTGGCTTGATTCCATGGGCACCTGAGGCGGTTTACCAGCAAGTGAACGACGATTTGGACAAAGCCATCGAAGTGATGGCGGCGGAGTTCTTCTACTCTGCCCCGAGACCTTGCAGAACTTGAGAGCAACAGAGAAGAGAAGACAGTTGCAGCGAGAGCTTCTCAAGCAAGGCTTCCACAGCTTTGCCCAACTAGAAGCTGCTTTCCTTTCGAGCGGTGGCAGCTTCAGGATGCGGCGGCAGACGGCCGTGGGCGCTGAAGGCTCAGGGCTGCTGGCGTAAAACGGCAAAGGAGCTGTCTGCGATGTGCTTTGGGCCAAGCCATTCCGGGCCTGCCCGGCCCCGCTGCATATGTGAGCGGGGCGATGTCCACCTCAAGATGTCATAAGATCCGAAGATACAAGCTAATCGGATGACTGAAATCACTGGTCTGCAGCTCCTTCAGGTAGTTTCGCTAGAAATGCTCCTGAGACCACATGCGGGCAGGCTTTGTTTCTGTTTCAACTCATGTTGTCGTTCCGTGTACAGAAAGGCGCTGAGCACAGACTTGTGCTGAGGGGAGGGGAGCATATCCAATCGAGGTCACCGGTCAAGGTCTGTGCTCAGAGACTGTTTCAGTGTCAAAACAATCAGAAATCAAGAAGTGTTGTTTGCGGCTCGCATGGGCTGGCACAGGTAAGAAGCCCAGTAAACGCCATCACAGCCTCAGTGCTTCTCACACTTACGATTCTCAGCTGACGAATGGGCTGTGCCAGAGGCCTGTGCAGCAGGCGTGTCCATAGGCATGTGCTATTTATGTACCAGCAGCACAATCTGGCAACTGCTCTTTATCCTTCAAAGCTTGGAACCTTTGGCGCCAGACTGTGCGGCTCCGCCTGGACAGGCTGCCAATAAGTTCGGTTTTCGTGTTTTTAGTTGAACTTTCCCAGGAGCTCAGGCTCAGATGGCTCAGGCTCTCTTTCGGAGAGCCCTTTCGGAAGCACTGACATGAACGTGGCTCCGCGAGGATCGCCAGCATCTACGTAATTCTAATTCTGCACTTAATGTCAAATGGTAACAGCCTTCACTCTCAAAGTGCTGGCCACTCAGCGGGCATATCAAGATGCACAGGCTTGAGGGGTTGTTCTACTTCATTAGATAGTCCCTGCTTGCAGCTAGCTGCTTGTGTGTCAACGTTACGTCGGTACTTTACAGAGAGCCCTCGTTCGGAAGAATCCCCACTCGAGCTGCATGCTTGGGCGACTGCCCGAGGTAGCCCCACCTCGATGTCTCGTCTCTGCCTTGTCTTTGAGAGGACTTGGTGAAGAGGGCTCCGGGTCCAGGTAATTCTGCTGCAGTCATGATGGCACAGCCCTGAAAGCAGATAGTGGGCGCTTTAGAAATGAAGGCTTCTTATTTGCAGGCTGTCTTCAATTACCTGCACGGGTGTTGGTATTCTCAGCATTTCCAAGCTCCACAGCCGGCTAGCTCAAGTAAAGGTCGCGACAGACTACCTGGAACTGCTGCTTCATCTGCGAAATCCGGAACCCTTTTCTTCGGAGGCTTTCCTCGGCAGGCAGAGCCCTGTGAAAGCCAGATCGGCTGTGAGTGTTTATGCCGCTGCTCCTCGATTCCATGCAACTTGAATCCATGAGGCCAGAAGGCTGTTGTGCTGAAGTCCTGCACGAGAGCAACATGCTCGGAGCGGTAGGGGATGATACAGCTTGGTCCCAGCTGCTGTCCTTCGGGAAGAGATGACGAACTGAAATCAGGCCATGGAGAGCGACCTTGCAAGCCATTTTGGAGCATACTCGTGTGAGCAACGACAGCACCTGCACAGAAAAGTCACCCCGTAGGAACAGAGGTAGCATGCGACATTCTGATCTTGAGCTGGATACGGACTCTCTTGATGGCGAGGCAAGGGTCCTTCCCACAGCCCTGGCCGCTATCGATAAGTCGCAATGCAAGGAAGAAAGCAAAGCCTGTGTGCTGCGCATTGCATCGGGCGCTTCAGTTCATGGATCTGTTGACATCTCTTCCACTCTTCGACCTCGAGAGGGCCCGGAAAGACGGGGGTTTCAAGTGGCTTCTGAAGCGATGCGGGCCAGGTCCTAGTGACAGCAAGCCGCAAACCTCAAGAAACGCTCTTGTCCTGCGTCAAGAAAATTCACCCGTCTAGCCGGCAGTTGCAGACGTAATAGGTTTTTCGCAAGCTGCCGCGACAGTGTATGGCGTAAGGTGTAGACAGTGTAGACTTCAGCAATGCCGGTAGATTCCACGACGCTTGCAGAACGGGCGGAAGCTGGTCAAGTCTGGGAGGCTCCCGTGGAAGCCTACAGTTCCTTCAACGTGGAAGCCGGCATCGACTTCCCAGATCCCTGGAGCTACAGCTGGCTGGGTCGAATTTTGGTTTTCAACTTCGGAGGCCATGGCCTCTACGTTGGGCCACATTGGTATTGCTCGCTGCTCATGCTGGGCTTCATCTTGGCAGTTGGGCTCTTCCAGTGCAATTCCGTGACCTCGCTGGAACAACTTGCAGGTAGTGTCTTCGTGACAGTCCTCTCAACTGTGAGTCCCTGGGCTAGACAAGTAACATGTTCTGTTCAGGCATGACACCCATCCCCATCCGAGGCCCATTTGGGTTGAGCCCGCTTTGCGGCTTTGCCTCTCTCCTCTCTCTCCTGCTTCTGCATCTGCTTGGGTAGACTGCCACCACCTGCGCCTGCGCCCAAAAAACCACACGTAAAAACCAACAGCTCCTGAGCCGGCACAGAGAGCCGCAAGCTGGCCGCAAGCCGCGGTTCTCCCTTAAAGGGGCAATTGGCTAGTTCAAATGGCCGGTAGTGTGCATTTCGTCACATCCGCCCTTGCATCTCGATGCCTCCTGCTCGTTCCACACTTGAAGGGTTCAAGGATTCTCGGATTGCTCTATGTGACAAGCTACTGGTAGCATCTGTGTGCTTGCCTGTCCATACCTCAAGGCTTCCTACGGTGCGCTCTCTCAAACCCGGGCGTGCTGCAGAAAGACCACGTCCCGACCGTTTCAGAGTCTTTGTCCATGCGGGTGCGCAGGTGTGACATCTGCCAGATGAATCAACCCCGAGGCTGCCAGCACTGCCAATTCTGCCAGGTGTGCGTGCAAGGTCACGATCATCATTGCCCATGGATGGGAAAATGTATTGGCAGCAACAACCTCTGCTCCTTCTATACATTCCTTTTCTGTGGCTTCGGCTCTTTGGCTTACATCCTTCTGGTGGCCTTGGCACAGCCCCCAACTCCAGCGTAGACGTCGCATATAATTCATGTCACAGGGGCTTCAACATGAAGCGCCCCGAAGTGGCTCCCAGGAGGCAGAACGACGAAACAAAAGGCTCTCCGAATTGAGGCAATTGGAAGATCCGTATCGGAGGGCGGAAGCTTGTGGCAAATGTGTGGCAAATGTGGCTTAAGCCTGCGCCAAACCAACAGCCCAGCAGCCATGGATCCGGCAGCTCGGCCTCGGAGTTCCAGAGGCGGCCCCGCCATGAAGGGACTGTGCTTGGCGAACAGAGGCGGCGCGATTGCAAATGCCCAGCCCATGCTCACGATATCTCACGATGCTTGCCGCCCTTGCGTCATCATCTCGTTTGCCTGATCTTTCTGGCTTGAGTGCGCCCCCCTCGGCATTTGCGGTAGACATCGCTTTGTTGTACTTGTTGTCGCGCTACCTGTCGGGCAAATATCTTGCGTCTCTCTGTGCACTTCTGCTGGGAGGGTGTTTCGTTTCATCCTGCGTAAGCTTACGGACTTCATCAAGGGCCGTGCTTGCACAGGAAGCCAGCCCTGTAGTCACAAAGTTGCAACTTCACGCCTTCGAAGGTCGAGCCGCTGGAGCACAACTCGCGACTCCGGGCTGAGGCGCACTTGGCTAAGATCATGATGTGCACGAAATTTGCATTGGACATCAACTGTTTTTTGTCACTTCCAGCAGCGGAGCCTCTCGCGCATGTCGCGCATGCAGCTGCGTCAGTGATCCTGTTGTGCACAAACGATCGGCTGTGTGTCACAACCAGAAGAATTTGAAGCAACCAAACCTGCTTTTGCTATGTTGAAGCAACCCAGCCATTGTCTGGTTTTCGATGACTATTATCACTAGTACTGATGGAACTCATTGCTACTGCCACATTTCCATCCATCTGCATGTATTGATGTGTCGGTCGTGCGCTGTAGCAGTTTGTGATTCAACGTTGTGATGACAGTCGGACGTCAGAGAGCTGTGGAAGAAGTTGCTGGCCGTGTCGATGATGTACAACAGAGAATGTACGTGCGTATGCTTGCATGCATGGTTGTATGCTTGTACGTACGTATGTCTGGCTGCATGCATGTGTATGCGAGTGAATCACAGAGTGTACTTTATGTAGCCAATTCAACTAATGTAAGATACGGTTATGTGATGTTATGTGGTGTGATGCCATGCAACGCAGTGTACTGTTATGTAACGCATGCATGCATGCGGATGTATGCGTACGTATGCATGTGTGTATGTATGTCTCTAAGTATGTGCGTACGTATGCATGGATGCATGTATGAACTGTCATATATGTTTTTCTATGTATATATGTCCGTGAACTTATGTGTATGTGTATATGTGCGCATGTAGGTGTGTAAGTGCGCATGTCTGTGTGCATACATAACTTTTATGTTTCATATATACATACATATATCCACATATATATATATATCCATACATGTTACTCTAAATCGTATTACATGAAATGTTTTATATTATGTTATATGATATGACCCCATAGAACAATTTCTCATGTTATATTGCATCATAACAAATGTTTTATAGTATGTCACATTCGACTATATATACATACATATATACATACAAATACACATACACACAAACACACACACACACATATATATATATATATATATATATATATATATATATATATATATATACACATGCATGTATGTTTTATTTACACGTGTATATACAGCATGTGTACGTCTGTCTGACAAGCTGCTAGCAAGGCTATTTGTCAAATCGGCGGGCGGCATCGATTTGGGTTCCTTCAGGCCGGGAGGAGCCACGCATCTTTTACAGCTGACGGAGGATAGCGAGCTGGTCAGGCGGAGAGGGAGATGGGTATCTCCAAAGGTGATGGAGATCTACTTGCAGGAGGTTGCTTCCATCCCACATGTCGCCCGGCCATGCCTGCCGAGACATTGATGCTGGGTGATGGCGACGACGATGGCTTTGACTAAAAGATTATATCTGTATCCATATATTTTCTACAGTGATAATGACAATGAGCTCTACAAACAGCAACGTACTGCGATGATGGTGGTGGTGATGGTGATGACAGAGGTCGGCTTTGGGTGTGTGGACAGGGGGTGGTGTGGCGTGTCTGACAAGACGCGTGTCTGACAAGACTCACTACCCTACGACAACTTGCGCCTCGTCTTCTCTCTTATAGTTCCTTCGCCCTTGGCCAGTGCATCAACTTGGCAAACTGCAACTTCTGGTTTCTTGCCTCCAAGGCACCGCTCAGCAACTTTGGACAAGAACCAGCGTCAGGTGATCAAGGAGATGAGCCAGCGTGAGTTCGCAATTTTTCTCCTCCGATGCCTGCAGTCCGGCTTCGAGCATGCTCCCCTTAAACCTCTAAAAGCCACACCAACGGAGTCCGAGGAGTGCCCCTGCACGGCTGAGCAGCTAGCCCGGGTCTCTGGTACTGGTGGTCTCATGATCAGTGGCCGGTCACCGATCCAAAGCACACAGGAAGCTCGGTTCAGGTTAAGTTTGGGGCAGAGTGCAGGGTTTGGGGGGGGGGGTGGGGGGGGGGTCTTGTTTAGGGTTGAATGCAAGCTTCCCTGTGCATGGACATGAAATCGAGATGTAAGTCAGATCCCATCATTTTACCAGTTCGTCAGCAGTACCCGAGGAGCTTCGTGGCCTGTCAGGAACAAGGCTTGCCGACATCTCCAGCTATTCCAATACTGCTTGCCAGCAGTTTGCAAGCGGAGTCGGTGCTTGCGACTGTGTCTGGACTGGTTACTGTTACTTCTACGATGGCCTTTGGCACTTGACTTCCCTACTCCACACTTACCTGATTGAGCAAAACCATTCGCTGTCCGAGCTTGGCACGACGGAGTCGTCTCGTTCGGACTTGTACGAAAAGTCCTTGGGGAAAGATTACATGTGCTTGACGGGACGTGTCCGACAGTTCAATAGCATTGAGCCAACGACCATCCCGCCTTCCTTGGGCGACCGTGATGGTGTGCAGACCATCCGGCATATTACCGGCGGACCGTGCAACGAGTTTACTGACCTGGCACAGCAGTCGAAAGCCCTGTCATTTTGTGGCAGGCCCAGGCCTAGTGTTCAGTTGATTAGGACCTTCTTCCTCCCCTGCTGTAAGGCTTCGGCTACTGCAGCTTGGAAGCTTTTGAAGCTCTATTCACTCTAGTCTTCGCCAATGACCTTTTTTCACCATTAATTAGTTTCGGCCAAAGCATCCTCGCCAGGCACGGGGTTAGGCTGCGGTCATGCACGTTCAGCGCTGAAAATGGGAAGTGGCCGATGACGAACATGATGATGTTTTTGTTGGTTGCGTGTTTGCCCCGGCCAGTCTGAGCACATGCCGCAGCGCCATTCAGTTTCTCGAGTCCTGCTTGCGCCCGGTGGACATCATGGACGGCACTGCGGACTGAACATAAGCATTTAGCTGGAGTTGCCCCTTTCTGGAGCCTTGCCAAGGTCTTGCCGCTGATGCTTTGCTCATGGCGCTCAAGATGGCGAACCGGACCATGCGAGAGGCAAATCGTCGAATCTTGGTTTGTGGTGCCTTTGATGTCTTTCTGGTTGTGCCTGTGTCAGGCGAACCGGCAGCGGCTGGAGCTGTTGGACCAAGTCTCCACTTGGTTTCAAGCCAGCTGCTGCTGTGCGGTCTTCAAAGAGGAGCACGAGGTCGGCGAACAGAGCTTCTGTATTGAACACTGGCCACGTGGCTCACGTCACGTTGCCCAATCCAACAGAGGTGAATGTCGCCTGATGAGCACCTCGTTGTCGGACAGGCAAGGCCCCACGTCGGGCTTTAGTGTGTGGTTCGTTGATGCTTCGTTGGCGTGTTGGCGAAGGCGCAGTCAGAGCAGGGTCCGGCTATTGCACGGTTGTGGGTTTTCTACAGCCATAGACGGGTGTGCTGTGATGGATGCAAAAGGGCGGAGCTGCACCAGGTTTCCATCCAACGTTAACCCGTGGTCCTTACATTATGACCTGAAGAGCATTTGCTGGTTTTCAGTTTGCAGTCCTGCGTGCTGGGATCGGGCGGTCATAGCAGCAACGGTGGAGGGGTGGTGTCGATCACTTCATGGTTCCGGCAGAAGCGGAGGGCACAAGATTTGGGACCCATGTGCGACTCTTACATGAGCGAAGCCACGAAAACGACACGACATGGGCTTTCGCGTGACACATCTCTGTCGAAGGGTCAGACATCGCGGATGGGCAGTGGTTGACAAGCTCTCAAGAGGGCGTCTCTAGCTGACGTGCGCCTCTCGTCAAGTCAACAACACAGCACAGCAGCTCCAGTTAGCAGCTGCAGATTCAAACCATCTGCAATGTGAAGTGTCTGTCTTGATTTTCCGTACCGCGCAAAACAGCAGCTATGTAAATGCATGTGCATCTAGGCAGAGTTGGCAGTAGCGCGATCTTCTGAGTGGTCAGCTTGGTTCACGAACCGGGTGTGTGCTTTCTAGTCATGTCGTGCATGAGCTGGTGTCCATGGTCCGTGCCAGGCGGCTAACCGAGCTGCTTCCGGGACCACTGGGCACAGATTCTGTTGAGGGCCCTCGTGCGCCGGATTCTAGTTCCAGAGTATGTTGAGAACTTGCTCTGACGCAGCGGATCGTCCACATGAGCGCCAGGTTGACACCACTCCCGCTGGATTTGTTAGAGAACCCTAACCGCTGAGCTAAGATGTTGCGTTGATTCCTGAACGAAAAACGCTTTGGTTTGGCAATGCTCGGAGGTACGTGATTTGCCGGCATTCCGGACTGCCAGTCGGGAGCTGTTTGCGGTCTTACTGGTGGGCGATGGCAAGTTTGCGACAGAAACCACGTGTTTGCAGCAGGTACTGCCTGACGTAACGGTTGCTCCAAAACGGGCTGACTGGAGAGGCATGGGGTGACTGGCTCTCTCTTCACTGACTCCCCGCTGCACGCCTTGACCATCGCCGCACCTGACAACTTCTGGGATCCGGCAGGAATTACCAGTAACATGACCGAGAAGGAGATCGCAATGCTCCGGGCCATCGAGCTGAAGCACGGTCTCGTGGCGATACTCGCAGTGCTCCACTGGTTCCACGTGGCTGCAGCCTACCACTTGTCGGGTGGCTATGCCATCGGCGAGGGATGAACAACGACCCCCTCGACAGCTTGAACCAGCCCCCCATCGGAGGCATGCGACAAGTGATCTTCGCTATCATGTGCTTGCAGTGGCCTACGGACCTACATCTGCAAGCCCCCTGAGGAGCGCCCTTGGGACGTGCACGGACGGAAGTTAAGCATCAACGAGGGCCCCCCTTCCGAGATTTGGAACAGCCGCCTTGCCATCGAGGCGGACGTCGTCACCAGTCACCACGTCGCTGGTGTCGGCAAGCTCTTTGGCGGGGCGAAGGTGTGCAACCAGCCCATGGACTATTCTCCTTGGACACAAAGGCACCCGACAGGCCGTATCCTCCGAGAAGCAGCTGCTGCTCTGCGTGTCTCCATGTAGTGGGTCATATGACGGGCGCGTGGGCCCGAAGTAATGAAAGTGCCTTGTTAGTTTCGCTGGCAGGCTTTCGGTCATTGCAAATCCGTGCCGTGGATTGTTGCTGCAATGACTGCTGCATATCCGTTATGCTTGATGTTGCAGTGCTCAAGCATGACGTCGCAGTGGCCTCGCATTGTTGCAGAAGCCCGGCAGCTGTGCAGCTTGTCTGGTTCGGTGGATGCAGGTAGCCTTACGGTGTGAAGCATCTGGCCTTGCCAAGGGAGAGAAGTGGAAAGCTTCCTCCTGTGCCAGGCATGGACATCTGAGCGCTTCAGGAGCCATAATCGCAGCAGTAGCAGCACTGCAAGAGCTCGCAAGGATACTCCAGAGTGTGATACACGATGGGGATGGTATGAATAGCACCAGCGGTACAAATCGCACATGAAATGCGCAGGGCGTCCCGGAAGATGCTACGCCACTTGGCCGTCTTCTGGATTGCTGCGGGGTTGCGGCTTCGCCATGAAAACGCAGAAAAACGCTGGCACGAAGTCAAGGATCTGCCAGTCCTGCCTGTTATGGCTCAGCAGATTCCTGCACTCACGGAAAAACGGCGCATAATTTTATTCAAACCCATCTTGTTTTTCAGTGCTGTCGCTCTTTTTCAAATTTTGTTTTTCTCCTTTGCTTCCCTTCGCCTCTTCCCCTTCCCCCTCTTCTTCTTTTGTTTTTTTGTGTTCGTCGCCCCGATTCCCTTTTGAGATTCTCGTTTCCTTTGTTGTCCTGCTCCCTTTCTTCGGTGGAAGTAATGAATGTGGTACTTTCTATGTTTGTCCTGCTCACTTATATGCTTCGGTCCTCACCTATGTTTTCAAGCCTAGTTCCGCGCGTCCATTTTCCAGCTCCTTTGCCCCGTTACCGTTCCGCCGCCTTCTTTGCCTCATGCCTTCTCTCTTGGCTTTTTTATTCTAGTTTGTGTCTGCAGCCTGCCATCACCTGTCCCCGGTTGCGCGACCACCTCTGCAGCTTTCTGTGACCGCAGCACGGGCTCTAACCTCAGCTTCCTCCCTTTTTGCGCAATGGCGGAGGTCGCGCAGACGTTCGGGGATGCATCTGTTGTGAACGCGTTGTGTTCCGCAGGCAGACTTTGATGTTCGGAAGTGTTGCGCGTAGGCATCGCTGCAACCGGAGTTGCGCCCAGCTCAGACGTGAAACCGTTCCCCATGCTCTGGCATTCTCCGATGATTCTTCGCCCGTAGCTTTGTCCAAGGTCACGCAGTCAACGCAAGAAGCTGGCGGCAAAGGCTCTTTTTTTGAAGTGTCCTCTGTTGCTTCTTGGTTTCTTGCGTGGAATGGCCACCCTGAGGCGCGCAAGGCAAGATACCTCGCGGCCCAGGCTTGGTCTTTGTGAGCTGCTGGTTGCCAAATCCTGAAGCTGATGTTGGTTGCCAAACCCTATAGACCATATTAAGAGATGTTGGTTGCTCAACCCTAAACCCTAAAAGGAGATGATGTTGGTTGCCGAACCGTAAACGTAAACGCTAAGCGGAAATGTTGGTTGCCAAACCTAGACCTTACTTAAGCGGTGATGTTGGTTGCATTTTGGAGAGCCTGACACGGAGAACTGGAGTTCACCACATTCTTCCGAACCACGCCAAGCCACGCCAAACCAACTTGGAGTCTGCCCATTGTCTTGTCGGATGGCGTGTATGATGTTCTTGAATCAATAGGATTTTCGTTTGTGCAACTCTGATTTGGCACCCCTCGGCTCCCTGAGCCTGAACCCCACAGAAATCGCGCAAATATCCCAAGCCGTTCTACGACCCGATTTGTTCCTGAACACCCGAGAATCACCCCCAACCGACGATGAGCGTTGTCGCATAATTTCGAGTAATACCCAAGTCTCAGAAAGTCAGGTGGCAGATGATGAAGACGAAGGGGTACCAGCCGCGCAAGAGGTGGAGGTGGAACCCGACTATGACAGATTGTTTCGTGTTGGAACCACAAAGGTGTTTCGAAGAAACACGGGCTCCCTTCTTGGGATTCCGAACTGGGATTATATTACAATGAGGTTGATATTGGGTTCCTCCTGTTTATGGAAACTGCTTTAATCGCATGTTATGTAACTACAATATAATAGACCTCCACAAACCCCCTTACATTTTTGCAGGGCTCCTGTTTTTTGCAGGGTTGGTAGGTTGAGGTGTGTGGTATGTACGTATATTATAGGGTGTACGATCGGCTGTATTACAGGGTATCATATTTGGGTATATTGGACGTTTGCTGTCACAGTACAGCTGGCCAGGACTTGTCTCGAAAGGGCGTGGAGCAGCCTGAGGAAGAGGACCCCAATGTCGTGATTATGTAACGACTTCTTGGGACAGTGCTTCGCAATGCTTCGCAAGCATCCCGGTTTTGTTGAGGAACATGCTGGAGCAATCCAAAATTCCGCATCTTGGCTTCACCAGCTGTAAAGCTTCCAACTGAATCGGCCAGAAAACCTCCTACCAGTAGCACTTATTCCAACACCAGACCCGACACCGTCTTTACAACCCACGGGCAATTGTTCACTCTCTAGGCTGGTTTGGGTGTCGCAGGTTATGCCTACTACATCGATTTCCTCAATCCAGGCTCGGGTCACTGTGCGGTATTGTCTAATGATAGTCTAATGCCTGCATAGTCGCTTCAGGGCAGCCACAGCTTGGAAGACCTCAAGAAGGCTCGCAGGGTTGGCTCAAACGGTTCTGTTTATGTTTTGCGTGGAGCTTGACCTTTCTCAATCCGCTTCACGCACAGAGTGTGACCATTCTGTTGTTTCTCCTCCTCCGCTCCTCATTGCCCCCTCGCCACCAGTGATGCGTTTCCTGTCAGCAAAGGCAATATCGAAAAACAAAGGCTAAAATCAACAAAGCAGGATCAACAAACAATAAGGGTAAAATCAAAAACCCCAAGAGTAAAGTCAGAAAGACACCGACGGCAAACTAAAAAAGGGCGCGACTCAATCTACATGGGGGATCGTTGGGGTGAAATCAAAAGACAAGGCAAACAAACAATCAAACACAACGACGGTTCTGCGTTTCGCGAAGTTGAGTCTCAAACAACGACCACAATTCTACATTTCGGCAAGAACGTTCCGGCAAATGATGCGATAGGATACGTCGCGTTCTCGAGGAACACATGCAGGAAAAACACTGTCAAATCCACTCCCTTGCGCATTGGACTTGGCAAGGCGGGCACAAGGAAATTATAAACATGAAATGTACATTTCTTTTGCAAACAGGCACATCGCAATCTCAATGTGGTTTCGGGAAATAAAATCCTCAATCCACCTTCCTGCCATTGGATACATAAGCTTGGCAATTAACTGTTAGGGATGTGATAAAAGCAACATCCACCAAATTTTTGCGTTTTGCGATTAGATACATCGCATACTTTTGCGGTTAGATACATCTGAAGGAGCACGTCAAAGAACAGTATTATACATACCCCCCTTTTGCCTGGCCAATGGAAATACATCTGGCAAGAAACGCTTCGAGAAATGATGAGTTGAAAACCCACCCCATTTCGATTTGCGATTCCACGCATTGCAGTCTGAAGGTACTTTTCAGAGAATAGAATGTCAAAATCCACCTCCACCCCCCCACCTCCGATTCGCTTTGCCATTGGAGACATTGCCTTGGCAAGGAACGCTTGCGGCGCCGCAGGGAACAAAATGCTGAATCCACCTCACTTCGCCTTGCTGTTGGATACGTAGCCTTGGCAAGGAACACTTGGGGAATGATGCATGTGAAATCCATCCTTTTTTCGCTTTGCGATTAGACATGCCATCGATCCGCTTCCCCTTGCGCCTTGCAAGACAGGGTTAGGGAAACGATGAATAGTTAATCCACCTCTTTCGTTTGGCCTGTAGCGGATACGTTCCCAGGCTGTGTGCGATGAACTGTACCAGATCCAATGCAGATTCCGGTGTGGAGCCCAATGGTGCCGTAGGGCCTTGGTATCGGGCTTCCGGCGAATGTCTAACGTCAGGATCATGGAAATAGTTTTGGGACACGTGCTGGAGGCCAGACCCTTAGATTTCAGCAAATTTGAATCGAAACGTGTTCCCTGCTTCAGGAAAACCAGGAGCTCAAGCGACGGCTGCATGAGGACATTCCCGGTCACACACGCAAGCAAGAAGGATTACAGGCATACGATGCCGGGCTGCATTCCCACATGTGCACATCTGTGAGAACATTTCGCAAGGAGGAGCCCAATGGAGCCGACGCTGAAGACCAAGTGTTCTGAGCGTGAGCAACCGTGATCTTCGTAGACCTATTCGGGACGAAATCCGGAATGGGCTTCATGAAGGTCTCTTGTCCATATTTGCACAGGGCTTGGCGTCGCAGTTTCGGGAAGTTGGGCACTGTCACAGCCGACCGGCTAAGATTTTGTTTTGGGATTAGCGACTCCAACCTGACCGCAGGCTGCTAGGTCTCTTTAGACAGCAGCCTGGCTTCGCTGGCCCAGTGACAGGTGCAGGTCCTCAAGCGCGCTTGCGTCTTTAGCGGAGACATCAGAAAACACTCAACAACGAAATGGGGGAGCACACCCGATTTGGCCCAGCAAGTAGCGACAAAAAACAAAAAAAACGTTTGCCGTCGATGGTTTTGCAGCGGACGCCGCCCGCTGCAAAATCATCGACGGCAAGCGCCGCTGGTTGACAACAATGCCAAGGGGCAAATTGTGCTCCATAATCACGCGAAAGCATGTTCTCTGTAAATAGCAGACGTGGAGAATGCTGCCTGAATTTGAACAGACGAGTAGCGTGTCAAGTCTGCTTCTGCACCGATTCAGGGAAGAGGTTGCGTGACCACACATTTATAGAATACTTTTCTAGACGGTCTGTGCTACAGGCGGCGTGATCCGAATCCCTCCAGTCACCTCAAAAAGAATGTGGTCCGGACCCGGCGCGCTCAGAGAAAGCAAGCGTGCACAAGTCTGGCCAGGTCTGACTGGATTGTGTCGCTTTCGCGGCCTCCCATGGCCAAGAACGCTAAGAGTTTTATTTTGGTCTCTTGAGTGAGCAGTGAATCTTGCTGTCCGCTGCCCCTTTGCTGCTCTAGGTCAAGCCTTCAGCTGCATGCATGCGTCTGCTTCTTGCACACAAACAGTTTTTGCAAGCAACTTGAAGCATGTGGTCTAGAAGCTTAAACTTGGACGTGTGGCACTCAGCTTTTGGCCCTGCCTTTCCTTGAGGGAAGTCTTTGGCAGCCTTGAGGCCGCAGCCCTCAGATGAAGCCCTCGCCTGGGTCTCATTTCTAGTTTGGCAAGCCTTCTGGCCAAACAGCCCGCCAGGTGTAGTGGAACCGTCAAGCTCTCTGCAAGCCTGGCCTCTTAGGTCAGCCCAGGCTCGCCAGTCTGGTTCTTTCACGTTTTCTCACAAAGCCCAGAGTTTTCCTTTGGCCCGGATCTTTTCCGGATTTTCACTTTTCACCAAGTGGGGGTGGTTCGGATGCGCAAGACAGGCTTGAGCCTTCAAGCCTTCCAACTGCCTGCGACTGCACTCTGAGCAACCCAAGAGAAAAGGTGTCCGCTTTTGGTGTGCAAGCTAGTAGCCTGAAGTAGCGTGACCAAAGCAGTGCAGCCACTCAGAACACCCGTGAGACTGACCAACAGGCCAAGAGCGAGTTTTGCGAAACACGACGCACTGTTTCATGGCTTCACCATTAGATGCTACAGTGTGTTTTTTCGCATCCTGTTCCAATCTTCAGCAACGCGCATGGCCGAGGACGCTGTTGAAATTCTGCCCTTAGCAG